CACACACACACACACACACACACACACACACACACACACACACACACACACACACACACACACACAATTATATCACTAAACTAAATAAATCTTAAATTAAAAAGTTTACATAATTATCATAAGTGACAATTCATCATATGTGATATACACACATTATAAGTAACATTTTTGCAATGTTAATAGTGAACGCGCAATCACTCAAAATTAAACTACACCAAAGCCTAAAAAATTATAGCTGTCAAAACAAATAGTAAAAAATTAAAAAACCAATCAGAGCGTTTAATATCGAGATATTCGAGAAAACTTCGATATGTACATTTAAAAGTGAAGCTGATCGCCTTTCTTTTTTTTTGCTTCGAGTTAGTTGGTACGTAGATACTTATTAATACTAAGATTTTTATATATTACATGTGTGTAACGTCTTTGATAAAAATTCTTCAATTAATAACTTGAAATTATCAGAGGACAGTAAGTAAAAAGTGTTTCAAAAACGTGCGTTTAACCTTGAATCTGACAATTCAAAAAATTTTTAAGCATATCAGGAAACAAATCACGCGTGTAAATATGCTTCATGATAAAATATCCATGAAGAAAGAGAGGTTTATGATACGGGAATTATAGAAATGGGAATGCAGAATTCGAAACGGTGAGTGGTCAAGAAAGAAATTATATGTAATTAAAACCTTTAGATATATATATATAAAGCAGAAAAAAATGATTATTAGTAGTCGAGTAAAATGAATTTTTACTTAAAATTGTTTTTCTTCAAAGTATTTATTGTTTTGTATAAAATATATAATATAGCATATATATACATATATATATATATACATATATGTATGCTTAAAACTTACAAATTTACAAAATTATAAAAATTTATATAAAACATTTTAGGCGATTAACACTAAGTTTTGTTTAATGTTTTACGCTTTTATAAAAAGAAGTTTCTACTTTTTCTCTGTGTACATGTCGTTTTCGTCAGTTCTCGGAATTGTCTTATTCTTGTGCACTAGTATTGTCTTTCTCTCAGTTCTTCCATGTTTGAATTCATGTATTGTTCATTGGTGAAAAGATTGTCTGTCTCGAAAGCAGTTGCTTTCTCTGATTCCTCTTCTGTCAACGGATTACTTTGTCCTACGAGCTCTTTGTGATTTTCATTGCGATAGATTGGCCTTATATATGTTGTAGCTTCATAAGTATTTGGATAAAAGAAGGTTGGATAAGTAGAAGGGTTTGTGGCATATTGAAAGAAATTCGTCGGATATGCTAACGAGGTAGAAAGTTGGTATGGATATGTTGTAGATTGATTTGTAACTGGGAATTGCAGAAATACTATCTGCACGGGAAATGTACGATTATGAAATTCTTCCTCAGTTTCATGGGATTCTTCAACTGAAGTGTCTTTATTAGCTTCAGTTTTTTTATGACGACGATTATGATGCTTATGATGACTGGATCTTGGTTCCTGTAAACATAATATTTTGACTTTTACTATTTGCGAAGAGAATCAGAATATAAGTACATGTATTTTTAACGTGTTTTCTAGCTGTTTTTACATGTGCACATAAATAATTAAACTTTCTTTAAAAAGTCAACTTTTATATTCTTTTTAAAATTACGCACTTTATGTATTTGTAGAATCAATGCTCATCTCTTTTAATGTGAATTTTATAATCGACAAGTTTTGACTTTTCAGTAATAAATTTTTGCAGTTGAGTTTAGTAAAGCGCTTGACTAATATATTTTGCTTTATACGCATCAAAAGATTCCAAACGCATAAACAAATATATATCATTTTAAAGATTATAAAAAAAGAAATTATTATAACACAACGGAGGTATTGAGTAAGAAAAGTAGATGACACAGTCAAGGTATCGTACGAAACAGTGTTTATTTTCTTAGTAAATAATATACACACATGAGAAAGATTAATGTTTTAAATAATGTTCTAGACGTTCGATTTGTCGGGTCCAATTTCTTTAGGTCATCGAAGAAGATAAAAAAGAACGATTAGTTCTGCACCTGTGCATGAAATCAAACATGTCACGTATTTAGTTCTGTTAGAATCAAACTATTTAATCCTCCTTAAGATATATTTTTACAAGATTGCGCAGGAATCTTTTGATTATTTTTCAGTGAAATTTGAAATTTCTCTTTTCAACAAGATCACAAATACTGCGCGATATCATATATTGACATCACAAAATCAACTTGACATAAGGTGAGATTTTGCTTTAATTATAGTACTCTCATTCAGTACTTACCGCACCGACCATGGGTGAAGTGACATCTCTTCTCACAATGTTGGAATTAAAGTGCGCGATCGGAGACACCTGATATACGTTGCCTTCCGATCTGGCCTGATTCAATCTTGCGCACCCGCATTCCAGGTCTGAAGCCTCAACAGGTCTAGTAATCTAGATTAAAAATATGTTACATTTCAGTATTATTAAAACTTCATTTAAGCAATGTATAATTGTATATTCAATATTTGAAATGTTATTATATGTGACTGATAATGATTAGGTTGACAAATTTAGAGAACTAAGAGCTCAAGAGAACTTAGAAGTAAAATAATTCAGCAAAAACAAAAAAAAAACGAATCAATAAGAAGCTAATTGTAACTATTTAAATAATGTCTGATACTAACCTCAAGAGCTGAGTCATCCAAGGGGATGATAGGATAAACAGATGTGTCCGCTAATTCAGGTTGAGATACGACTCGAACTGGATATAGAACTGGATATTTATGAGAAATTTTTCCTAGTGAAGGTGGAACCAAGGCAATTTTTCCCCTTCCGAATGATGGCGATGTGCAAGGAGCAGAAGGTATGTTGATAACTGGAGGAACTGGTGAAGGTTGCGGTGGGACTTCAATACAAGGCGGTAATACAGGAATTGTTGGCTGTAATATAGGTTGAAGAGCTGGCTTAGGAGTTGTTGTTGTTGGAGCTGGTGCAGGAGCTGGTGCAGGAGCTGGTGTAGGAGCTGGTGTAGGAGCTGGTTTAGGAGTTGGTACAGGAACTACACGAGGTGGTACAGGAGCTGGTGCAGGAGTTGGTGCAGGAGCTGGTGCAGGAGTTGGTGCAGGAACTACACGAGGTGGTACAGGAGCTGGTGCAGGAGTTGGTGCAGGAGCTGGTGCAGGAGTTGGTGCAGGAGCTGGTGCAGGAATTGGTGCAGGAACTACTACATTAGGTGGTAATGGAAAAGGTAGTAAAGGAGCTGGTAGAGGAGCCGGTTGAGAAGGCAACACTAATGGAGGAACTTGAACAGGAACGATATGGATCGGTGAAACTGGCTGAAGAATAGGCTTTTGAGGATCGCAGGGAATTGCTTCTTGTTTTCCATCTGAGTTGATTTGTACACAGAACGTCGTCGTTGATTTCTTGGCTCTGTCTTTTTCCTCGCCAGTTTCTTCTATTGTAAGCTCCTTGTTGGTAGTCTTAGTCTCGATAATCTTTGGCGAAGGTGCAGCCTGACAGGCGACCAGCGCCAGCAGGAGCAGAGTACAGCAACTCTTCAGATACATTCTATCGAAATAGTAGTCGAACTCGAACTGATGAAGCGGAATGAACGCACCGGGTTTTTATGGGAATTCACGATCAGAGCTCCTGACGAAATTATTTGTGACGTTTGCGAAATTATGCGAGCATCTTGATGTCTCGGCAAATTTTAATGCGTGGCTCAACAATGTACGCGTCCTCGTTATTGAGCGATTGCGGAATAACTTATGATGATATTTGAGCAATCATGAGCAACAGAAAAATAATTTAATTTAAAAACTTTCTCGATATTTTATGAAATATATTAATCTCCTCGTTTATTTATGCTATTATGCGTAAGCAATAGTTGAATAGAGAATACTATATAAAAAAAACAATCTAAACGATAGACCCAATTGTTTTGCATTGTATTTTATTTTTATACATATGTACATATATATTTACAATTACTCTGTATAAAATTCAACAATATTTTTCATGCTTCTTATTTATTTTAACGTTATGTTTTATTTATTTAAATCTCGGCGTTACAAGAACACTTCAAGAACGTGCTGTGTGTATTGGTAAATTGCAATATTACGCATATTGCATTTTTTTATTTATGTCGCAACAAACACGTGTCGCCGTTCGCAATTTTACGCGCACGTATCTTTGCTTGTTCATTAAATTCCACAGACTTGACTATATACAGTTTCGCAAAATTTTGCGTGTTCTATATCGTACTTGTGAAAGACGCATTTTTCTTTTTTTAGGTCATGTATGAGTAGTATTTTTATATATGTATAAACAAAATACACAAGTATCGATTATTTCATTATTCTTGTTTAAATTTTATGTTCAATATGAATAAAACATAAACACACAGTATTTAAACAAGAATAATAAAATTATTGATAATTATTCTTCAATAGTTTCGAGCAAGATCAAGGTGGTCCTGAATTTGCATTAAAGAAAAAAACAAGCCAATATATTTCAAGTTTTCTTCTATTAAATAGAATATATGTACAAAATTCTCTGTTGTATAGAACAATTATTAACAATAATTAGCAACTCTTCTATTGTTGTCGAGACGTGGAAAATTCTTCTGAAGATTTCGCTAACGATTTGATTGATTCCGTTGGAGGATTCTCAACATCATCTAGTAGATCGGGATCAAATCTTGTGAAAGTTTCATCTTGAGCATTGCTTTTCGCACTTTGCGTATCGATGACAGAATATTTTTCCGAATTCAAATTATTCTTGAGAGAAATCGAATCCTCGACGCGCATATTATTCTGCATCATTGTTTTGTCCTCGTAAACTCCGTCGTTCTTATTTCCCGCAAAATTTGCGTATAATATGTTGTCTTTATTTTCCGATGCTTCCCGCATTCCCAGCGATTTGACAGGATAGTTTGCATTATTCAAAGTGTTTACGGAAAACGTGTGTTTGGGAGTATTATAAGCGTTATTGGCATTAATTACAGATGGACGAATAATTGTACTGGGATACGTTTTGTCTTCGAGGATTACATCCTCGTCATCTCGAAGTAACTCGCTGTTATCTTCCTCGGGATATAATTTTCTTGCTTCTTGAAGTCCTTGCAAATCCGAAGATGAAAAATCTGACATGTCAGAGAGATCTTTATCAGTGATTCTGTTCCAATTATTCATGTTATAGATGATATAAGGATCGTAGTCTTGTTCAATCGTAATTGCGTCACTTTTTTTATTCTCATTTTCAAAAAGTTGTCGATAAAACTCGTCTTCATCCACGAGATGTTCGCTTTTCTCGTCTATCTCGTCCTCCAAGTGTCCAATATTCTTTTCTGTCGTAGGATACATTGGCGGCCAGTTATTTTCATTTGCCTCCGATCGTTCAATTTCCGTAGATCCCTGCGAATTCTTGCTAGCGATCATCTTCCAATCGAACGATTCTTCATTTTTTGATGGATTCGAGATACGTACATCCGGAAGGAGTGCGTAAGGATTATATTTAATTTGGTCATTATCTATCTTGGAAACAACTGTCTCGTCTTCTTTCTCGTCAGGATACACTTCTGATGAGAAGTCGGTTTTCGCCAAATTTGACTTTTGTTGCGCCCGTCTTGAGGATTCGATTGTATCTTTGATAATGTCCCAATTGCGAAGCAAGATATCCTTTATTGGCGGCTGAATGTTCAAATCCTTAGGAGAAATATTATAATTATCACGTTTGGCTTCCGCCAGATTGAATTTTGTAGGATTGTATATCACTGGAGGTTGGAGAGAATTTTGGCTGCGACTCGTCGACTCTTTCATCGCGTTCTTTTCCTCGTCTTCTCGGCGATATCGAAAAGTACTTGCGTCTCTTGGATAGAATTTTTGCAACAGGATGTTCGAAGCGCCTCTTAAATTGTTCCACAAGGGACGCTCGACGTTTCTGTCGACGCGATAAGAGACGGGCAATTTGCTCGCAGGAGTTTTCTCGCCTATCGCGTAAAAGATCGGAACTTCCGATCTCCGATTTTGTAAGGAAACGGGAACTTTGTTGCGAAGATTCGTGAAGAGCGTATTTTTCGCAATGTCCGAAATTTGCCTCGCTGGAAGAACGCGAGGATATCCGCTCGTCGGTTTGTTTTGCGAATAAGAAGTTCGCTTGTTCATATATTTTGGAAACGTGTTAAGATGGTCGGTGAAAGACAAATCTTCGCTCGCGGGTTCTCGCCGAAGAAAACTCCTGTGATTTCCAAAAGCCGGTGGATATTGATCCGACAGAAGATTTCTATCGCGCGCCGCATTCTTGATAAGTTCTTCTTGCGTTGAGTGAAAAGAATTTCTGAGCGAATTGACGGGCAAACTCTGCTCGTCCGATTGTAAATTTGCTCCTCTACGAGTATCCCTAAAACATTTCCGCACAAAAAGTTTTTTCACCATTCAAAATATTAAGTTTTTTAAATTTTTTACAAATACTATCTTTTAACTTTTGTAATTTCTTAAAGTTCTATAACTTTTTCATATATTTGTGTGTACATGTACTTATATATTTAAATTGTTTTCTCACCATGGTAATTGGACAGTCAAGGCTTCCGGACAGTCTTGGCTGCACGACGGACAAGATCGTTTGAGAATTGTTTGCAACGATCCGCGAACCAAGATCGTGCTCGCTAACCAAAAAAACAACAAATAAGAACTTTGTCTCGACATATTTAATCGTAGTTTGTAACGCCGGAATCGGAGACGGCGGCTCTTTATAAACTCTAGTGATGCAGCGCAAGGACACGCCGATCCGGAAGTAAAAATTTGTTTCTCGCGTTGCATCAAAAACTCGTTTATGTTCTCTTCTTCTTGCATACATCCGTTAAACTCGAAAGCAAAAAATCGTTTGTTTATTCACGGTTTATATTTCCGCTTTTTCCTTTCAGACAGGATGCGGGTGACGACATAATATCGCAGAAATCTCTGAACGCGGTGAAGGAACTTATACATTTTTTGAAGAATCGTAAGATTTTTTTTTTATACACATGCGTTTTCATAAAAGATACATAAACCACAGAATGTTAATTTATGCAAATATAAATTCTCTCTAATAACATGTCTATGTTAAGCTGTTTTTTAACAAATTGGGAACTCAAAAATGGTTTTTTATTCTGAAGATTCTACAGTGGAAGGATTATTTCGACGTGCAGGACGTCGCGAGCTTCGACAACATATTCTGAATTCTCTGAAAAAGGGCCAGAAGCCGCACTTCGAAGATTCGAACAATGCGGCTCTGGAATGCGCGGCAGCTTTGCAAATTTTTCTCAGCCGTTTGAAGAAGCCAATTATGCCGCAACATGTGCAAGAATTAATCCTTGGTACATTGTTATTATTATTGTTTATTAACAAAACGTTAAATAAAAAAGTTGTTGCGCGTCATTAAATTGTGTAAAGTTCTACGGTGTTTCTCTTGTAACCATAATAATTTATTTATCGTTTAAAATCGTGTTATGAAAACGCAATGTTCATCGAAAATATACACGTGAAGACTTCGCGTCAGCAAAATTCAAGCTTCATATTGAATTTCTATATCGTGACATCACTGTCGCATAGACTTTGCAACTTATTTTAATTCCTAACATCTTTTAAATAGATGTTTTTATTACTTCTATTATATTTTCTTTTATTTTAAATATTTCGATAGAACAAGAGAATTTTTATAAAAACTGTAGAGAGAGAAGCGTAAATAAAATAAATTTAACAAAATATTATATATATTATAATTCTTGTGACTATAGCTGACAATCCTGGCGTAGAAGCACAAGTTATAGCCCAGGATGCCTTAGGACTCATTAGACAGGACGTTAGCGGTCGACACGGCGAGCTCTTGACCGGTGTCCTGGATCTTTTGAGACACTTGACTCTGTCAGGATCTCCGTCCGAGTGTTCCGAATTACGTGGATCTCCTCTGCCCATCGCTCTTTTGCCAGTGTTTTTTAATTTATCGGTGATGATATGCTGTTTGAATTGCTCTGAACATTTTACGAGATTCGTTATTCCATAGATAAAAATTCAAATTTTAAAAAATTTTTGTATTTTAATTTAAAAAAATTGTTTTTACAGCCTAGCGACTTAATGAAGTGGAAGCAAGTCGCAGCCAGATTTAGCGAATTAATTACGGAAGCCGCGATGCAACTTCATCGGGATGAACAGCGCGCCGTACGGACAGAAACTGTGTTGAATTCCGTAAAAAATTTCTGCTCGAAGACTTGGTATAGTTTTTTTTTTTAAAGCAGTTATATCTTTATACATTACATTTCTTTTTTTAGACAGCATCGCCTTCGTCAGAAGAGGAATCTGAGGAATTAACGAGGTTGCAGGAACTTTCTTTATTATATCCCATTGTCCGACTTACAAATCACTCTAACGCTTGTGAGACATTTATCCTAACTTCAATATTTATATTATAATTTTGTTAACGAACTTTTGACGGATGTCACCATCAAAATTCTGTTGGCAGCTCACGTTGGCGAGATAGCACGTCTTCTCATTACACCGTTACAACATCCCGCTGTCAGCAGATTACATCCCGCAATTGTTAATCGTAACAGACAATAATCACAGATAAAAGGAACAAATCTTAATGGTACAAATAATAATATATTGTAGTGTTGGAATCTTGTTTACGTAAATTGACCGAGTGCTTTTATTTGTAATTCGAGTGAAAACCATTGTGATGTGCACGTGTTGCTAATAAAAAATAAATGCCGATTATCTCGTTAATGTTAACAATAACGTTTGAACAAGCATCAGGAGTAAATTTGCAAACACATATATTTTCGTGTGCTTTCATACATATAGAACATTCATTAAAACTTTGATACATTAAATTAAGTGTACGTATATACATATGTGTATATATGTATACGCACATATATACACATATATAAACACACTGAGTACAGTTTTGCATAATAGAAACAATTTGCTACTAATAAAACAGAATTTATATTTGCATGTACAATTTGATCTAAGAAACGTGCGGTTGAACTTGATCTTCGAAAATTCTCTCTCTACAAAAAAAAAAAAAAATCCTATGTCAAAGTGATGTTTGATCCCATCACCACGTTTAGAGCTGTGATTTTGTTAGATGATCCCGAGATTTTTAAGCGTGCCACCTAAACGCATATGCAGTCTTCTATATGTATATATATATATATATATCGAGATGGAAATAAAAATTGTTTCACGACGAAGTTTGCGTATATGAAATACATTACGTATGTATACGTTATCTCAAGAAATGTAGCGATCACATTAAACACAATTTCCTTTCCGTATTGATTTTTCATTGCACAATATTAATCGAGACATCGAAGAGCTACAACCAAAGTATCTAAACTCGATTGTTGTATTACGGCTAATTACGGCTACGACCAGGAAAACCACGATCTCGACTGAGTGGGCGATTTCGCGGTCGGTGTGGTTGGCATGGACGAAGTTGGCGTGCCTGTTGGGTTCTCGTTGACCTGTTGATTCTTCAGTCTTACCTTTTCATTCGTCTCGGCTTGCATTTTCTGCTCGTATTCCCGCACATCATCCAGGGTCATATCGTACCATTCGTCAATCCAAGCGAAAGCTTGTCTATGACCCAGCACCAGGATATCTCGTATACACTAGAAGATCATAAAACACGAATAATCAATGCGAACAAATAAGCGCGCACACTTGTCTCTCGTCTCAGGCAAACTTACTTTGTGTATAAATTCTTCTATTCGCGTCTGCATGCCCCACACCTCGAAGGAAGCGTGAACCAATTTGTATGAGCACATTATGGGTTTTGTTGTTTCTCTCCAGCCTTCGACCAGAGGACCGCGGCCTGTTCGTTTCGACTGGAAAAACTTCGGGTCCTGTTACAAACAACAAGAGATGTTAAAATAAAAATGTAAAACTAAAAATTAATCGCGCGGCCGATTATTGCTTTCGCGAACTCACTTCCTCCTCCTTGTAATGCTTCGCGGAAAGCTCATCGTACGCGATATCCACAAAATCTACTTCCCGATGAATCAATTCGATGGGCGATAATCCTAAGCACTGTAATGTAACGACATTCTCATTAGAGCAACGAAATATTTCTGTATTTCAAGGGAACGTTAGTTACTTACATTTTCCGTAGAGCCGTTATTATCTTCGTATCGTGTATTTATTTCTATGTGAAATTTTGGTATGAAGGAACACTGAAAAGAAAGAGAAATGTAACGGAGAATCTTATAACAATCTACTTATGCGCCAATTGTTACTTACAGTGTATTCTGCATTTATCACAAAGGACCCATGTGAGGAAATATTGACAAAAACAATGTTAATTAAAAAGAACCAACTCTCTTTTCACTTAATTTTCATTAAAAAAAAAAAAAAAAAAATATATACAACACTTCAAGATCTTATTTTTATCAAAATTATCGTACTGTATAAAATTAGCTGTACCTGTGATAGTAAAAGGATAATAGTTCCATGCTTTCTCAGTTACATAAAATATTCTTGGCAAAATAGATTGCACCCAATAGGGAAGTTTACTGCAAAAACACAAAAAAAACAATTAAGACACTTGTAATGTTTTTGTGATAAAAGAATATGATACAGTTGCGTGAATAAGGAATTTACCTAGAGAGATGGATTCTTTTTTCGGTATACTGGCCTTTTCCGTGAACGGGGTCTTCGCAAGCAGTATTTTCCACTACTTCGACACCTTCGTCTTTATCGGATTGCTCATGACTATGCCTAGCGATCATGTATAATTGGCCGATACGGTACTGTAAAATAATCGATTGACACAAAAGTTTGTTTAAAGATCTTATTTTCAGAAAAACGAATAAACAGACAAGTTTGACACTACGCTACAACGATTTTTGGACAAACAGCTGATCTTCTCGAATAAATTATCGAACCGAATAATTTTAATAAATATTATATAAAGGTTATACCTCTTCTGTAGTGAGCGGCATACAAATACGATATTCCTTCGTGAGAACCATGTTTTTTCTTTTTCAATTATCCTCGATTTCTCGACGATGACTGATCGACACTATCGGCGACTTCGCGGGCTTCAAATGTCGCGAACTATCCTCTGAGTAAATATTCGCCCAAAAAAATCAACTTCGCGTATTTTAGCGTCCGACTGATGCGTAAACAATTTTTGTTGCAACAATCTGATCAGTGAAGTTCGCCGCGGTTTGCCGTTTTCGCGCGACAATCGATGAGCGTTTCGGCAACGTGCCGACGAGAAAATCACAACACGACAGTTGGCACCGCGTGTCCCGGCCCGATGATTCCCCAAAGAGACGAATCAGACGATAATTTCACGTGTTACGTGTACAAAATCGTGCGGACAACAAATTTACGTAGTAGGATGTGCAGATAACATTGTCGCGGCTGTGCAACATGCGATGGTGAGGATAAGAAGCGGCGAGAGTCAAGCAGTTGCTAGGTCTCGGTGTGAAAAAAGGAATACGGGCGTAGAATCGCCGAACATCGGCGCCAATGGCCTACGAAGCGCTATGGCACGAGTACATGCAAATGCCCGTGGTGACGCGGGCTTACACCACAGCCTGTGTCATCACGACCCTCGCAGTGGTATTTATCCTACTTTGTTTTTTCTCCTTTACTCGTGTGTGACAATTCCACGTATCGGTTTTTCCCCGTTGACACGCGCGTCACCGAGCGTGTTTCTCTCATCATCGCGTTTGTTCTGTCAGTTTCGCGGACTGTTGCATATCCGTATTTAATTCGAACGTCTCTTTAAATTTTCCCACCGTAAAGAATATTTTTTGCTTATCAAATAAATTGACGTGATCGCTTGATACATTTCAGCAATTGGACTTGGTATCCCCCTTTCAACTGTATTTCAATCCCATTCTTATTGTAGAACAGTTTCAGGTAAGAAAATTGCATGTATATATGCAAATTACTAAGCAAAGTACAACTTATCAAGTGTGTATTATGTAAGAAAGTTATCTTAGCAAAACAAGCAGCACTTTTTTGCACGTGTTTACATGTGTGCGTTATGTTTATATGATGATTTTGACATTTGGAAAAATTTGCTTTCAGATATGGCGGTTAATAACAACATTCCTGTTCTTTGGAAATGTCGGATTCAATCTACTATTCAACATGATATTTACATACCGGTACTGCCGCATGTTAGAGGAAGGGTCTTTTCGAAGAAGAACAGCTGATTTTGTAATGATGTTCATCTTTGGTGGATTGTGCATGATTGTATCCTTTTCACATATTGATCGTTGTGTTTGCTATCTAAAATAATTGCGAAATTTTTGAGAAAAAAAAAAAAAAATTTATTCCTCAACCATCTACAGACTTGTGCGTTTTTTGTCAATCTGCTCTTCTTGGGGCACGCATTCACAATAATGCTAGTGTACGTGTGGTCGCGACGAAATCCATTTGTCAGGATGAACTTTTTTGGACTTCTAAACTTCCAAGTGAGTTCTAACTCTTGATGAGTTGCGCGATCTTGCTTGATATGTTTATACTCAAACGTTACAAATGCTTCCAAGAGACGCAAATAATTTGTTCGATTGATAATAACTTTTGTCTTTGTAGGCCCCTTATCTACCATGGGTGTTGTTAGGTTTCTCCGTACTGCTCGGCAATACAATATGGGTTGATCTTGTTGGAATGGCAGTAGGACATACTTACTATTTTTTCGAGGATGTATTTCCGCGATTGAGAGGCGGTTTCCGCATTTTAAAAACTCCGCAAATACTGTGAGTAATATTTCACACATTACAGTTTTTTTTTTCCGTAAGAACGAACAAAATTAAACCTTGATTGTTACTTTAAAAATCAAATAAAAGTTTTAATGACAAATACAGAACGTACATATGTATATGTGCGATAAGCTTTGCTTCATTTTTCTAGTAAGACTTTGTTCGATGCACATCCATTATTCGACGAAGATCCGGATTATATGCCACCACCGGAAGATAGGCCAGGCGGCTTTAATTGGGGACAGGAAGCTAATGTACAGTGATAAAATTCAGCAGTTCTCATCTCGCAAGAGGAAAGATGCTGTTTTTTTTTTTTTACGTCAAATAGTCCAAAAAAAAGAAAAAAAAAGTGAAAACCGCGCGTTTCTATCGTTCCTTCGTGTATTTAGTTTTTATGATACATAAATTATTGATAACATTCTGTATGCGTATTCGTACAAGTTCTTCGCTATTCGTTTTCGCGTACGGAGTCCAGTTTCTATCGAAGATATTAACTTGTAGAAGCCGCATCTGATGTTTCTAGCACTCTTGCAAAAAATAATAATGGATTCAAATCGAATCGATTTATATTAAATGCAATATATGATAGATTCAACAAATTAAATCAATTTAGTATAAAGTAAACAAGTCGAAAAGTGTTGTTGTATTTCTCTTTCAATTTCTTAGAAAGAAAGAGAGAGATGGAAAGAGAAAAAGAGCGATATTATAACAGAGCGATATGTAACAGTTGAAATTATAACTGTAAAAAAAAAAAATTAGTAACTTTTTAGTTTTTTTTTTTTTTCCGGGTACAGGATGTACATACACGGGCTGTTTGCATGTATGATTGTAATGTTGGGGATATTATATTATAGTTTATTTCAACTTAACATTTGTTGTAGCAATTTTGATAATGAATATAGAAAAAACAAATTTGCGCGAATCTGTGTATAATATTATATAACCGAGTTTTTGCAGTTTGATCGAAGCGGCATTTTTTATTTAACTAAATTGGCATTCCAAAGGGATTACACCCTGTGTCTATCAAATACAAATTTTTATTTATGTGTGCACGGAGAATTGTGACTTTTCAATCGCGCGAATTAATTTAGAACTCTTACTGTTGTCTCGAGAAGTCGAGATTAATTTTTATGGTAAAAGCGGTATTTGCGATCGGTGGTAATTTTTTTTTTTGTGATACATTTTACCATGCTCGTAGTTCTATAAACTATCTAACTGGACGAGGGAAGAAGAAAACGAGGGAGAGAATGCCATTGTGCAAGAAAGACTTTCAAAATGTATAAATTAAAGCATTTACTTTAGTATTGTAGGAATGTAATTTAATCTAGGCAACATCTACAAAGTACAAATCGTTAAAAATATAAACATAAACTAAAGAAATAGAGGTATGTCGTGTGTGTGTGTATATATGTACATATAATGTGTATGCACATGTATACACACGTATGTACATACTATATATATATGTATATATATATATATATTATACATATATATATATATATATATATAGACACTTCCTACACTTTGTTGATATGTGTATATTGTGTACTATGTGAATATATAATGGAGAGAATTGCATTGATTACAATTACTGACCTTTTCTGTGATTCTCTTGTATGTTTTGCGCAATGGTATTGCAATATCCTGTGGTAAACAAATGTGAATTTTAACACTGATCGCTTCTAAACAGTCAAAGCAAATTGATTTTTTTTTGCAACCTACTGATTTAGATAAGAAATTTATAAGAACTCGCGATTTTTCCGAGGATAATATAAATAATTCATTTCGTTTTTTTTCTTATTATTATTTTGATGTCCGAGAGTCTCGAGCTAGAAGTTCACTGATCTTTTAGTTTTTGTTTTTGGTTGGGATATAGAAAATGACACACGTATATAAACAAAAAAGTCCGTAAAGGAGAATTCTCTACTTTTCTTAAAACCTGCACACACACATATATCTCACGTGTATTCTTTGTATACTTTTGGCTTCCAGGATCCTAGGATGTGTTTTAATCTTTCACAGAATTATAAATTCGTTGAATGTTTTACTTCACGAATCTTCGCGTGTTGGAACACTTGTAGCCTCACAAAATTTATTTATTAACGATCTTGACACGGATATTCCGCAGTCTTGACAATCCTAGGATTCCTAGCGCCTTCTTCTTCTTCTTCTTATTATTATTCTGACAATCAATGTAACTAACGACGATTATATCTTTGATTGTTTATTATTAGAACGTGTATTTGCATTAACTCTTTCAGAACCTTATTAAATATATTATACAGAGAATAGATTGTATAGTTTTAAACGTCACAATTTTTTGTAAATTGTTTGATCTCTTGTTTTTTACTTTCGGACTGTTTTTACACGCAGTTTTATATATATATATATATAAAAAAAAGCAAATCCATAAGACAAAAAAAATTTCGAAAAATTTCGAGCCGAAGAAAAAACACAAAAGTTACAGCTGCTGTACCAAAAAGCATAGGTGCTGAAAGGGTAAATCAATGAAGCACGTTTGCGATTGCCAAAGAGTACGTTAATGATTATCAAAGTGCTATAAAAGAAACAATAAAGAAGTAGAATAACAAAATAATTTTACAAAACCATTTATTTCGATTTAAATAATAAATGATTAGCGTACTAGGATTAATATAATAATGTATAACTAAAAAAATACACGTACACAATGATATGGACTATAATACAATGATCGTCGGGGAGTCTATTGTACAACTTTTGTTTCTTATGTTTTGTGTTATATTGCCACTGTTGCTAAGAGCACCGTGATGTCATCCGGCTTACCACCTGAAAAAGTTCGCATAATTTTGTTCTCGTGTGTTCTTTTGTGTGTTCTTAAACTTTGCGGTTAGTAATTACAATGCAATAACAGAGTTTTAAAATACAACTGGTAAAAACTGGTAAAAACTATATTCCAATTTCTTTCATGAAAAAAAAAAAAAAAAGAAAATAAAGAACACAAGGAAATCATCAATTCATCGCTTTTCGTACAAACGTGAATATGAGTTTCTTTTCGTACGCACCTATTGCATCAATCCCATTCTCTCGAGCACTTTGAGCAAATGGAGATAAGAACGCGTCATCGAAGGCCAAGCGTCGCGCCATCCACGCTATCGTGTTAGCAACGTACTGTATCTTCGTCGGATCCTTCTCGCCTTCGATCTTCTGCATTTCGGTAATTAGCAACTGGTCAGGCACATTGTCAAATACCCCGTCTGTCGCTAAAAGAATTACATCGCCGTCCTCGACTCCGAAACTTGAAGTGTCGGCAGACTCTGGACTGTAAGAGATGAGAAAGTTTTGTTACGTCTAATTTTTTTTTTTTTTTTTTTTTTTTTTTCACAGCAATTGTCACATTTCTCAAACGCAATGATATGTAGTTACAATACACAAAATTTGTAAAATTGATTTACCTGTCACGAAGTACTAGATTAGAATGTCCTGGAGGTGGCAGAGACAATTGAAAAGGTGTGTTGAAGTAATGCTGTTGCTCTGAAGAGCGGTGCACCACCTCACCTTTACGCACAACTACAAATCCACTATCTCCTATATTAGCTGCATAAATGCTGCTGGTCTCTTTATTGAGAACTATAACGCATGCGGTGCTGCTACCTGTGTACACAAAAATTGATTGATATCGCAAACAAATCAATCTTTGTGACATTTGTGTAAGTATTTGATCATTAATTAATTTTCTTGCCTAGTATTGGTTGTTTGTTTTCTAATAATTCGTAGTAACTACGTGCTAATAAACCAGCTGGTTCTGTAGGTGTAAATTTGCCTAAGGAGACTAGCCTCTCGCAAGTTCTCATTAAGAAATTGGAGAACTCTCCCGGATCAATTCCGTAATGCCGCCATCCACCAACACCGTCAGCCACACCTAAAAAAAAAAAATTGCAATATAAAAAAAATTAATTCTCCATTTATCCCCACGTGATTGTTACTGTCTCTTTACTCTCTCGTTCGCAAGATATATTACAGAGAGAAAGAGATTGCAATAACACCAATTCTTATAGAATCAATGTGACACTTTATGCCAAAGAAAATAGAAAAAAAAAAAAAATAGGACAAAAAGAAAAACTAGAAGAGACTAATTGAATTGGCTAATGCGAGTCAGGTATAATTGCGAAGAAATCGTTCAGTTCTACCTCACCTATAACTTCGGCCGTTCTGAATTTAGCGGTGAACCAGGCGTCATCACCGAACTGACCCCTGCACAACCGGCTCCGAGCAAAGTCCTTCGGAAAACCGCAGACGGCAGAGATGAAAGAGACCTCGCGGCGCTTGCCGCTACAGGCGACAACCGCGTTCGATTGTTGTTCGGTGCCACACGCGTTGGTGTAGCTCGCGATGCCGTTCCAGAGCGCGCGCGACAGCAGCCGTCCAGTCCAGTAGATGGATTGCATCGCGCGTTAGTTAGCTAGGCGTTGCGCTCAGAAACGATCAGCGCACAACCAGCACCAGTAGTACCGAGGTCGACAGCATCATTCAAGTCGTTTTGCTCTACTTGGCCAGGATGTCTCGTGACAGATCTTCACGACCGTTTCGATGTCATTCTTTGTTCCGTCTACACGTTCTATAGAATGTTATTGGCCAAACACGGCCGAGGAATCGTAAAAAAAAGAAACCTGGGTCAGTGACGATCCCTCCACTTATCGCTCCTCCGCTAAACTGAATTGAACTAAATTACGAAAGGATTGGCCAACTTCGTGCGCGATCACGTGGCGCGCTGCTATCGGATCCAATTAAGCTGCGGTCCGTTTCATGCTTAATCGCGCATTTATCTGTAGTATATGTCACGTATACTATAGATAAATGTGCGCTTAAGCATGAAACGGACCGCAGCCCAAGTCAACAGGATGCGTTCCGCTTGACGAGCGCAACGATCGCGAACGCAAACCGGATCGACAACGTTCGATCGTATTGGTCCGCGTGGTCTAGGGACGTTTTTGCGAGTCAAGATATCTCGGCGTTGTGGAAACACAAGCTTAAGCAAAACTTGAAGATCCTCTCTCGGTTGTTCTTACCGCGTGGTTTCTCATGGCGGAATACGAGCGGAATTAGCATATGCGTGCGAACATGCATGCGAACGGGCGCACGTGTAAGTTATGACCGATGATGTTATTATTTCGGCGCTTTTCGCGGTTTTAATAATGTGACAGAATATCACAGCTGGACAGTTTGTTATCAAATTTAAGAAGGGTTTTTGCTTGGGTTGTTTGTAAGCTCGAAGATGAGTACTATTCTGGAGAAGATCGCCTCCATCGAGGCCGAGGTAACCCTTCGATTTCGCTGGAACAAACGATTCTCGCACTGCGCGGATTGTTTTCACTCACATTGATCTCTTTCAGATGGCCCGTACTCAAAAGAATAAAGCTACCTCTGGCCACTTGGGTCTGCTGAAAGCTAAGCTAGCCAAACTCAGACGCGAGTTGATCACTCCGAAGGGTGGCGGTGGGGGTGGCGAGCAGGGTTTCGAAGTCGCCAAAACCGGTGACGCTCGCATTGGATTTGTCGGTATGTTCATTAAAATTGTGACATTTTTTAATGACACATTTTGTTCTCATAGTTTTACGAACATTGGTTTTTATAGTCAGTTGATGGTTTACAATATCTGCATTTGTCTTCTGTCAATTTAACAGATAGAATCTTGTTAGTATGATATTTATATTTCTTATTTGAATTATATGACAAAGCTCTCTCTGTTTATGTGATGAAAATATTATTTTATAAGAAAGACACTTCACATAGGCTTCCCATCTGTTGGAAAATCCACATTGCTGAGCACACTTGCCGGTGTTTACTCAGAGGTAGCAGAATATGAATTCACAACACTCACAACTGTTCCCGGTTGTATAAAATACAAAGGTGCAAAGATACAGGTAAATTTGAATAATTTTGGATTTGCATCTGTATGTGTATATCCGTTTGCAAGAATCTTATTCTAAATAATTGTTATTTTAAAGTAAAACTTGAAGTCAAACTTTGTGTGTGCAAAAGAAAAAACAAGTTGAGATTGTAACGCAATGTGTCTTGCAGTTGTTAGATCTCCCGGGAATTATAGAGGGTGCGAAAGATGGTAAGGGACGTGGTCGACAAGTTATCGCTGTGGCGCGAACTTGCAGCTTGATTTTTATCGTACTGGACGTGCTTAAGCCACTCGGGCATAAACGTTTGATTGAGCACGAATTGGAAGGTTTTGGCTTGCGACTGAACAAACACCCACCAAATATCACTTTCAAGAAGAAAGATAAAGGTGGTATAAATCTACAAGTTATGGTAAGAAAAACTAAAAGTTAATTTTATTGATTCGTTTTAATGATCTAGCAAAATATTCAAAACCTAAAGAAGCTTTGTCGTAACCGTTTCAGTGTCCTCAAACCGAACTCGACTACGATACGGTGAAAATGATCCTGTCAGAATATAAAATAAGTAATGCTGATATCACGTTAAGGTATGACGCAACCTCTGACGATCTGATCGACGTTATAGAGGGAAATCGCGTTTACGTCCCTTGCATTTACCTCTTAAATAAAATAGGTAAACTTGTCTAAATTAAAAATTCAGACGATAGATCTGCGCCAAGAAATATTTCTAAATAGAAATTTTTTCTCACAGATCAAATTAGTATAGAAGAATTGGATGTTATTTATAAGATTCCACATTGCGTACCGATATCGGCTCATCATAAGTGGAACTTCGACGATTTGTTGGAGAAAATGTGGGATTACTTGCAGCTCGTTAGGATGTAAGTTTATAATCACACCGTCTCATCTCTCATTTCATTAAGTTTTAAATCCATTCATGTGTATTGTTTTCATTTTAGTTACACTAAGCCGAAAGGTCAACTCCCGGACTACAACGCACCTGTAGTATTAAACACCGAGAAGCGAACTGTTGAAGATTTTTGTAACAAACTTCACAGATCGATAGCGAAAGAATTCAAATAGTAAAATCTTCATATTTTATCTCGATCGTTTGAGAAAAGATTTATTAATGTTCTTAATGAACTGAATATTAACTTTATTTATTTTCTTTGCAGTGCGTTGGTGTGGGGTTCATCTGTGAAGCATCAACCGCAGAAGGTGGGAAAAGATCACCTTCTCTGTGACGAGGACGTTGTACAGATCGTGAAGAAAGTGTGATATGTTTCTTTTTGCATTTTTTTTTGTCATTGCTCAGCAGCGCAAATAAACGTTACTTTTAAAGAAGTTTCGTGAAGTCTATAAAGAGATCGAGAAAAAAATAAACGAGGAGCTTATCTTGGCATCATCAGAAGCGCGCATCTATCAGGTTTTACATATGTAAAGGTGTGTAAAAATATTACAAATAACTTCGAGATCTATATTTTATATGTGTCATATGTTTTCTTTAAAAAAAATGAATATATATATACAATACATATAGCAAAATAAAATCTGTTTTTTCTATCTTGAAGGTTTACGCGTATTGATTGTCGGCGATTTTTAGGTATCAATATATCTGATTATGTCGTAATTGATGTCTAGATAAGCAGAAGATATTTGTGTTATCTTAAAAAACAAAAGTGATAAAATATTTATGTACATCGTAATTCAGTATTTTTACAATACAGCACACACACACACACACGCACGCACGCACACACACAGTCATATAATTTCGCACGAATTAAAATTATTCACAGAGCCCTTTCAATATGTATTCCTTTCTTTGCTGATCCAACAATTTTTCCAAGTGTTCGCATCTCGAATCGGCGTCCTCGAGTTTTTTATTGAGTTTTTGGATAGTTAGAATCTTGCGAGTAACCACAAGTTTTATCCTAAAACAGAAAGAATTATTTTGTATCGACAAAAGACCCCGAGAAAAGAAAAAAAATCACTAATGTAGAACGTGAAAAGTTAAATAATAACGATCCAATCGATTAGTTAACGTAGACGTTATTAGTTTAAGATATTTCTATTGTCTAGTTTTGATCTGCAGCGTTTATTAAAAATTAATATTTTGTTGTATGTTTGTTAAATTGTGACTTTGCTCTTTTCGATCATTTTCTTGTTCGTTGTCAATTTTTTATAATTGGAATACGCAAATATCTTATGTGTAATCTATTAAGTTTTGGCAATATATTTTTTATATTCATATTTCAACCTGCTCTGCAACTGTGTCATAAATTGATCTCTACTAGCGTTGTTCCGAATTATTTCCTGTTGAAGCGACGCGATCTTTTCTTCCAATTCTCGTTTTTCCATATCAAATTCTCGCCTCGCGATATCTCTCGCATCGTTCTTCTCCAGTGTCAGTTTTGCGATCATCTGTAAACCGATCGCAAGTTGGCTACTATGAAAGAGAACGCATAACTAAAAATATTCGGTATTGCGGAAACTCACGTCGTTCATGTTGCACGCGTTGGACATGCATTCCTTCAATTTACTTTCTGTTTTTTCCAAATCGGTTTCTGTATCTTTCAGTCGTTGTTCCAGTAACAGCAATTTGTTTTTATGAACGTTCTCACTTTTTACCGCGGATTGAAATTTCGCGTCGTAATCCTCTTTCATCAATCTGAGAGAATCATCCCGACGGAATTAATTTTGTTTATAATTTAATGCTCGTAAAATAATACAATCTAAAAAAAAAAAGCTTACTCTAACTTATTGTCAAAACTTCGTTGCAACTTGGCTCGCATTTCGCGATATTCCTTTTCCAATCTAGCTATAGCAATTTCTATCTGCCTGTCTCTTTTCTTCTCGCACTCGTCGCGAATCATCGTTTCCGTTCTCGCAAAATTTTCGCTTTGTTCCTTTTTATATCTGTCCGCCCACGCGAGCCATTCCTTTCTCAGGGATTCCTCGAAATTTGTCCTAGCAGTTTCGTGTTGCTCCTTTAATTGTTCTGTTTCTTTCTATAAAAAAAAATAAAAAAAAGTTTGATAAAAGTTTTTTTATTAACCGCAGGAAAATAAATTTTTTGTAAAATAAACCTGGAGATTTAATTGCATTTGTCGCATCATCGCGCTTGTTTCCTCCTCGCGTTTTTTCTGCTCCGCAACAAGCATCGATCTCTCTTTCTCGTAATGTTCCGCGACAATTTTTTGCTGCGTTTGGAAGTGTGCCTCTTGCTCTTCCAATTTCTCTTTGTGTCTAAACAACACAGTGTAATTTTATATAAACATCCCTCCGAATATAAAATGTTAAAAGGTAACTACAATCGACAACACGACACACGATCGTCTACCTCGCCGTCAGTATATCTTTTTCCTTGGCTAATATTTTCTCGTGAGTGTCCGTTAACTCGATTCGCAGTTGTTCCAGTTGCTGATTCGACCTACGCATTGCGCGCAATTCGGCGTCCTGCAGCTCCTTAACATGCGCAAATCTCAATTCCTGTATCTCCCGTTGATGTTGTTCCATCATATTGTGCAACTCCGGTTCCAATCCTTTCACCGTCATTTCCTACAAAAACATTACCTTATTGCGTAATGTCTAAATCGTGTATATGATAAAAAAATAATTGACCAGAGAGCGCGGCACCTTGATTTTTGAAGTTTTCATCTCGAGCCATCGCTCGCGCCGGATCTTCTCAGACGCCGCCATGTTTTCTTTCGCGCGTTGTAACTCGACAGCGTGTCGTTCGGCGATCACTTTCAAATCACGCTGAATCTTCTGTTCCATTTCCTTTATCTGCTTGACCAAAGAGTCGCACGTTTGCGTGAGATCTGTTTTCTCTGCAATTAACTGTTCGATAAATTTTTGATGGCGTTTTACGATCGTTCTGTACTTGTTCTCCAGTTCCCTGATCTTAGTAGTGTGACACCGTTTTTGCGCCGCCATTTTATCGCACGCCGCTTTGCGCTCGGATTTCAATTGATCCTTCAAGCATTCGATCGTCGCGTTCTTCTCCTCGATCTGCAATCTCGCCGTCTCCAAATCGTCCTGTTGATGCCCGAGATTCGAGCAATTTTGCGTGTTGCATCTGCGTCCAGGAAGCAACAAAGTTTTACATAGATTTTCTCGTCATATATTAAATTTATATTTTAATCGTCTGTGGTTAATTATTAAATTATTTTTTCTCACCTACTCGAATTTTGACGAGACAGAACAACGGCTGTTCCGCTATCGGTGATGATGTTCGTATCTTCTAGGAGCGAGAAAACATCGGAAAAACAAGTTTAGAGAGATATGCGACAAGTGTAATAAATTCAAATATTTGTACAACTAATCTGTTTAACATATCGGTACCATTGTCGAGTGTTCCCAGCAAGGACATTATGTCCTCGTAAATTGTAATCGATCCGCGCTTGTCTTTCGTGACATCTCTCTCCGGTTCGATCTGCGCATTTCGATTTCCAATGACACAGTAGAATTTTATCGCATTTTACTTAAATAATATTACAACAATACAAATCTCTTTGTATACGTTTCACACTCCGCAATTTTTTTTCTTTTTTTTCTTTTTTTTAGACATCGACTTCAGGTGTAAAAACTTCTGTCGCTTACTTGTTCGGAGTAATTGAAGAATACCGATTCCGGATTGACGTCGTACTTTAGGTCGACGGCCGGCGAATTCATTCGATTGCAATCCGCGATGTCGACATTGCCGTCTTTTTCCAACTGGGTTATCATACTGCACAACTGTTCGATCGGCTCGATTAAGTTCTGATTGAAATCGCGCTTTTCTTCGCGCAAATCCTTCATTTCCATTTCTTGATTTCTATTGTATTGATTTCGCGCGAATACAAACGAACTCGATCGCGTCGCGAATGAGAGATCAGTCTGAACTGATCGGCAAACTTGCGTGCGTCAATGATCGGCGATTGCCATAGCGATGCGATGGCACACGCGTCGTAAACAAGGGGGAAAGAACGCGTGTTCTTTTTCGCGTGTTTCCGACACGCGGCAAAAGTTGAATCGCGAGTTCGGAGAAGTTTATTCTCCGATCGATTCGTTCTCTTGACTCGATTCTTTATTTATTTTTTATTTTTTTTTTTATTTCATTTTCAATTCACAGGAGCTCACGGGAGAGATTCTTCCCTCTCTCGTGATCTACGACGAAGAGTCTCTTATCACGGGACCGCAAGCGATTTTTTATCATCGCAGAGTACCCAAGAATTGTGTTGACTTTATCGTTGGAGAGGGTGCACGTTGAAATTCTCTCAGGATTCATCACCGACGCAACCCGCGACCAAGCCACCGTCGGTGGTGGTGGCACTTTTCACGTAGTCGCGGGTGTCCGCTATCGGTGGCGCTTTCGCGGGGCGAGGTTTCCTAGGGGTTTTGGGTGGCGACAGAGGTGGGTAAACGGCAGCTGGCAGCGGGGCGGACCGGGGACGTTGGAGTGTATGTACGTGTAGAGGCGGCACTTCCGACCCCTCGCGGCGTACGGCGGCTACGTACCGTAGGAGAATCGATCTAAAACTAGAGTCGCCGCAGTAACCGCTGGGAGGAAGCCAGTGTTACAATTCGCAGGGGCCCCCGTCGTATGCGCCAGTGAAATCATCGACGCACGCCGGTTTAATCGTACGTACGCACGGTCGGTCGGGGCCAGACACGTCCACGTCGACGGACGTACGTACACGTCGCAGCAGCGGCAGCTCCCTGCTCCGTCGCTTCTCTGTTTATTCGCGCCTCGCTCTCTCTCTCCCTCTCTCTCCCTCCGTCTGTTCTGGCAGCACACAGGGGTGGCTGGCCGGGGGTAGCCGTGCTTTAATCGCGGGATATAACGACGGGTGTTGCGCGCTCCTCACTCTCGTCGCGAGTACAGTGCGTGCGGGACGGGAAGGAGGCGCGGCGCCGCGGGTGCAACGGGCAGAAGAGCGACGGAATCTCGGAGACGAGGAGACCGGCCCCCCGTGAGAAAGAGGAGACACCGTCGTCGGCAGTTAGTGAATCAAGTCAGCCGATCGGCGGACACAGCACGACCTGCCGTTGTCTTCCTTGTCCAAGTGAAATATACACCGCGAGTGTCGCAGCGCGGCTCCGTTCTCGTAGGAAAGAAGATAGGCGGAAGAGATCAAAAGGCGAAAGGAGGCAGAGACGGCGCGAGAAGGCGAGGGAGAGAGAGAGAGAGACACCTTACGAGGGTGTACGCGTGAGCAGGCTGGGCGGACAGCAACGCGACCGGAGAGAGCAGCATCCCCCCCGATATATGATGCTACGTACGGCCGTCTTCGTCTTCGCCTTGGTGGTCGTTCCTTTGGAATAAAGTCGCGCGCTTGCTGCTGGGACGGTTCTTTACCTGCAGGGCTATGACGTAATGGCAAGAGAGGTACGCACATCCTTCCGATACACAAGCAGCTCCTTCCTTCCTTTCTCGCGCGCATGCAGCACTCACAGTCCGCGATCCGACTCATCGCGCACAGGGATTTCTCGCCTATCTCTTGCCTGTTTGTCATCGCGGAAACGAGGGGAAATCGTCGTCGTCGTCGTCGTCGTCGTGGAAATCTTTCTTCCGCGAAGAGGACGCCTCTCGGTGACCTATTTTCATGTGACCTCGTGACACCCGATGGTCGGTCCTCAACTTGCACCCCCCAGAGTGCATCACCCTCTCGGCAAGGCCGCGATCGGCTGAAGGGACGAGCCCTCTCGCCTGGTTTCTTTCTTTCTCTCTCTCTCTCTCTCTCTCTCTCTCTTTCTCTTTCTCTCTCTCTCTTTCTCTTTCTTTTTCTCTCTCTCTCTTTCTTTCTTTCTTTCTTTTTCGTTATTTTTCTTTCTCTCTTTCCTTCTCGATAGCGCGTTTTTTTCATGAAAAAATATTCGCGCGCCGTGTGAATGCTCCAGTTTTTCGCTCATAGAATCTTCCGCCACATTTCGCTCTTTTGGGTTATCCTCCCCCGTACGTCTCCCACGACTGTGCTCTATCAAGAAACTTCCTCCTGCGTGACTTTGCTTGATCACAACATTCTCTGAGAGTCATCCTTCTTATAGAAATTCTCATCTGTCTCTACAGAGATTATCTTATTTCTTTTGAGTTTACCTTTGTACGCGCCGAGAATTCTCTCCTCTCCCCTCTCCTCGAGAAATGTCTCTTCGCATGATTTATCAGTTGAAGATGTTAGACGTTTTTTTGTTTTTTTTGTTTTTTTTTTTTTGCGATTATTCTCTCGCAATTTTTAATCCCCTCGCATCCATTATGATGGACACACTTTTTCTTCATTTGTAATATGGAAGCACATAGTTGTAGAGGCACCCGCTACTCTGTTGTCCTAGTTTGTGGACATGTTCTGAGTTATGATTCGAGTCGTTTATCACTGCTCGTAACTTCTAAGGGGAATAATAAATAGGGAGGAAAACATATTCGAATGTATTTCTGGATAAAAATAGAGTGTCGAATATCCGAGACAATGGAGAGATCCATATTCGCAATTATTTTGCTCTACGCTAGTGTGTGTTTTCTCTCATCAAAGATTTTCTCGGCATCCTCGTCGTAAAAAATAATTTTTTTTTTAACAACAAACAGTCAATGAACGTTTTGTTTTAGTTATTTATTTGTCATTTATCAAATTTTCATCTTTGTAAGTGCTTAAAACTCTAATATTGTTCGCTTTTTGAATTTTTTTGTAAGTTCGTATCTCATTTTTTATGTGTTTCCCAGTGCTTAACATATATTTTTTTTTTTTCATTGTTTCACGTACATTTTTTTGCTAATAATTTTTCTATCGATTAATCAACAATGCTCTGCTACACGACCGGAATCTTCTTTTTGTTTCTTCACACGCAAAAACTTGTCCTCACTTTCTTTCTTTCATTTACAAAATTCATTTTTTTCTATTTTTTTCTTTGGGGGAAGAGAAAGGAAAGTAAGAGTTCTATTGTTGCTTTCTCAGCGTCTTCTCTTCCGCGACAGTCTCTGCTACAGATCTTTTTTTATTCTCGTACCGCTCATATAGGACGGCGGTATTCGTAGTCGTTTCTTCAGACTCGTGTAAGATCGTCTTATTTGTACACGGTGTGTGTGCATATATATTATATATATATATATATATATATATATATATATATATATACGGAGGATACGTGCAAAATTAGGACGATCCTTAAATGTGAGATTCGACTGTGGATACCGCTCGCAGACTCATCCCTATTATCTGTCTCTTGCAATCTGTCGTCTTACTTTATCACGTTATCTAATCTAACACTTTCTGCTTACTCGGTAGATTTTGCTTTGCCGATTTACACATTCCGAATTTCTTAGAATCTTTCCTCATATGTGCAATACCATCATTTTCAGTTAAACTGCCAGAATCGTGTCGAAGAAAGGTATACAAAGTACGAATTCGAATGCGCACTTTGCAAATATTCATTTTCGTGACTTGTTTATGTTGAAAATTATATACGCATAAAGCAGAGTCATACACACACGCACACACACATACACACACAAAAACACACACGAGAATGCTACTCTTTCGCAGCTGGAATGCTTTTCTCGTTCGTAGAACGCTCTTTACCTCATTGTACGTTCGCCCGCTGTTGCTTTGCATGCTCACAAAATTCTTCTCATCGTTTTGCACGTTCGCGGACTCTTCCTCCTCGCAAACTCCTTATCATCGTATGTCACGTTTCGCAGAATTCCTGTAAACCTTTTGCTTATCGTAAAAGCCTTTTGAGCGCGTTTATAGTGTCGAGAGATTCCTCTTAGTTAGAATAATCCGAAATGATTCCGTCTGATTTGTTGTTTGTAATCCTTTGTTTGCAACGTCAACAAATTTTGTAACAAAATTACAATCAAATGACAATGTTGCTTTATATTAAAAAGAAACCAGATAAACTAATTTTTTCTTCCCTCTAAATTTTGTTTTCCAAAAACAAAAAACACAAAATTAGAGAAAGAATATTAATAAAAACTAGAGAACACAAGTTAATAGAAATCGACAATTGTTTTCTTGTTTTTCTTTTCGCAAAGAATCTGCACGTGTACGTTTCGGCTCCTTTTTTTTTGGGGGGGGGGATCATCTTTACCGAAAGTCTCGCAAATTCAAAAATAAAAAACCCTGATGTGTTGAAGAAACAATCAAAAATGAAGCGATCGAGACGGTCCTCGAGAATTAATTGTCATTCGTCATTCATTGATAATTACCCCACACCCATCACGTGACGGTCACGTCTCCATTTGGTCTCATCTTATTTATGATAACCTTCAGAGCTAATATTTACGTACATTAAAAAAACCTTGTAATTAATCTCGCCGCGGATCCCGACAAACGCCCACCTTCGCCGTTTCTGTGTCAGGGGATATTAAGTCTTTTATTTAAGACCCAATTTGTTACTTCCCTTGAAAGTTAATTCTGTGTCGGAGTTGCCAGTGATGATTTTGCGCTTCCCGGCTCTTATCAACCATATTTTCTCTCAGCTTGTCTTTCGAAACAATTGTTTTCCGATTTTTTATATTGTAAAATTTTCACACGTTTGTTTTTGATACAGTTTTATGTGAATAAATATTGAAAACTGATTGAGAGTGCACGGATAAGTTGAAAGAGCACAAAAAAAAAAAAAAATAATTCTGTTAAGCATTTTGTTTGACATTATTTTTGGCTCTCTCGTCGAATATTCCAAATTTAACTATATGAACTGAATCCAAGCATGATGAGTTTAAAGCAAATCAAAAATTCACAGATAAAAGTCAACGCGGTTCTTGACGATACTTCATTAAGAGATGCACCTGGGTACATCCATTGCACAGGCCGCTGCAGCTGTAGGCGCAGTTCTCTCTATTTGCTCGTTAGCACGTTGCGATGTTGTTTACCAAGTTCCATCCATGGCAAGTTCGCGAGTGCATCTGAGGATTGTCGTACGCGGAAAAGGCTCCCGGTTGTCTTGTATTGCTCGGATAAACACTTAATTTTTCGGATACTTGAATCTCTGAACTCTCTTCTGGATGTTTAAATCTTGAAATATTCTTGAAGTTTTGAATTTTCAGATTTGTAGACTGAGCGACTTTTTCTTCCGAAATTTTTCAAATTTAAATTCCACAGCTTTTGTTTGTTCGTAGAAGGTTTTCTGAATTCTTGTCAATTTTGTCCGAATTTCATGTATATTTTTTTAACAATAATGCATGTTGTGGCTCGTGAGTTTGTTCTTTGTTTCATACACCGTAATGTGCTTAATGTTCAAACTAAATATTTTTCGGAAGATGTGTGCTTTTTAATCTCACCACTAAGTATCGAATTGTTTTGTATATACAAACAAATTTTTAAAAACCTCGTTAAGATTCTATATTTTATTTTGAAATTCTAAAAAAATATAATAAAATACCCAAAACTTAAAGATTTATCGGAGAATATTAAAGAATCGAAAACATACGTACATGTGTATCATTATTACATCTATATTATTTTTAATTCTCTTAATGTGATTGTGCGTTTTTTATTAGATATTACCACACTACAAAGTGTGTAAATATGTGATTCAACAAGAATTTGATATTTTTTACATAATATAAATCACAATTACATTATATGAGAGTTAAATATTTTTTTCACGAACTTCTTGTAAATAAATGTAATAATGACGTATTATGTATCTTCTCGTGTGAGCGATGAAAGCAAGAGACAAGAGAGGTAACCGGCAAAATCGACACGCTGCACAGAATAAATAAGCGATATTACAAGTTAAGACCCGTTGAACCAGGTCAGTGCTTTCAAGCATAAAGTGCGCACGCGCCCTGCACACCCTTAGCGCCACCCCGTTGAAGACTACCCCAAACATAATGCACTTCTTCAATTCGCATTATTCTGAAATCGCTAGCGACGTCGTCGGAATGCAATCTCGCCGATCGAAGAGCGCAGATGTATCCGCACAGTGCGAAAGTTTATAATAAAGTGCACAAAACACAAGCTTCGAAAAATAAATAAATTTGTGAATAACTCGTGTTGTGTGATAATGTAAATATAACTCTTTTAAAAGTGAATCGACTAAAATACAAAGTATAAATCAATAAAACAAATTAAGTTTGTAACATATAATATAAAAAGTTTTCAAAACAAGAAGTTTGCAAAAAAAACCTGCGCTGCGAGCGTCCTGCACATCTGTGTGTTCTATGTTCTTTAAATTTTTTAGCATATCTAAATTCAAAAATGTGTTAACGACATCTAGAAAACTTTTAAAATCGGAATGCGGCATTTGATTTAAACAATGTGATGTTTCCGAGATGCACATAATTTCATATTGAAAAATATTTTTTTATTTTATTATTTTTTTTTAATATAGACATTTTTATCACTTTGTTAATAGATAAATGTTGTTTTGATCTTTGAATGCCATGCATGTTGTCATGTTTATTTATTTTTTTATACAATTAAAGTTTATATAAACATAAACTGAATTTATTTATGCCGAATGATTTAATCTAGTTTAATAAATAAATTGTTTTCTTTAAAAAAACAATAAATAAATACTGTAGCTTCTTGTATTTAAGTCATACTAAAAGTATGTGTAGTTGGTTTCTCTTTGAATCTTGTTCGATTCCGCGACAGTATTGCCAGTAAAAATTGTCGCGACTGCATTCCGTTTGTGACAGAGAGCAAAATACGCATGAAAATTCCATGCAAGAATGTATTAATCAGCCGTTCTACATTGTCACTGTAATATAAAGCATTGTTGAGAAATTATTTACTCCACTTAACATCGAGGCGACAAACATTTCCCTGGGTCACCTCTCTAGATTTCCACGCGCTTTTCTTGCTATGCATAATTTTTAATTTATGTATGAATTAATGCTTATTTGCAAGATATCTTTATTTATCTGCTGCACGAAAAGTATGTGTGTGTGTCTGAGAGTGAGCTACTTTTTAAATAATAATATTTTTATTACTTAAAATATATTCTCTATTACTAATTAATTTTATATTATTACAACTATTTAATCTTCATTATTTTACTGTTACTGTTAATTTTAAATAAACTTTATGTAAATAAATAATTTGAATAAATTTTAATATTAAATTATACACACGCAATATGTTTCTTTAAATTGTGTGTGCGCGATAAATTGTAAATTGTAGATGTGGGTAAAGCAACTCAAATAACTGCTGACATAATGTGCTATGTTACTCTTTTTCTAAAGGGTTTAATACCTGTATTTTTACAAGCGCTTTAAATGTCCGCAAGCTCACACGAGCTTCCGGAGAGCATTTACGGTCAGTAATAAATCGCAAATGTCAACCATTTTTAACTTTATATTGTACATTGAAGTACAGTACACATTGGCATTTTCTCACTGTATTAAAACTGATCGATGGCAGATGTCATGTCCTTTTCCCATCAAAATGTCTCGTGACTAATTAAAAATTGCAATAATATTTACTTTGTGATCTACTTCCAACTTCGTTTTACATAATCAATAATTAATATTTTTATACTGCATTGCCGCTATATACAAGAATTCTCTTAATAGTTTGCGAAGGAACATTCTAATTATATATTATTCAATTTTTGTGCAGGAGTTACGGAACAAGAGACCTTTTAAGATATGGGACAGCTGGCGTAACGTAAGAAAGGGCCTGGTCGTTAGCAACTTCGAAGAGTTGATTGTTCGGGGTAAGGAACGTAAACACACATTGATTATCAGTAGATATTCAATATATCAACGTTTTTCTAAAGATGTTTCCAAAATTAAAAAAACACACAAACTTATAAAATCTAGAGAAAAAAATAAGATCAGTCAAATTCGTCTTTTTTTTTTTTTTTTTTTTTTTTTGTAAAAATACAAGAAAAAACTAAGCGCGCTACGTTCGTAGGATTACTCCTCCTGCGAGCGTCGCGCATCGTTCTTTCGGAACGTTCTGTGTCTACCTGTCCGGTCGGCCGACGAAGAAATATTTCCGGCCGGAAATATTTCCACGCGGCGTATCGCGCGCGTGGAATTGCATTATCTGCAAAGTTCCTTTGAAAGTGTCGTCCTCGCAACACACATTTCTCGCAACATCTCTCCGAGACAAAGCGTCGTTCGTTCGTTCGAGGACACACTACCATTATTCGCAACTGCGCCATTCACTGCGATTACACAGTAACAAGCGACACGTGGCACACGCACATGTACGCTTTACCTGCACACCAGACAGAAAATATACGTACGCTTACGCGCTCGTATACACATACACACATTATATACATCACGTCGCGTATATCACATCACGCTAAACGCCATCTGACGTCCACAAGCCTTCGCGGCCAACCCTTTGCTTTTAGGTAAGGAAAAGCTGGGCGTGCCACAAAACGAGAATGTCTCGCTAGTTTTGGAGTCGGACGGCACACAAGTCGAGGACGGCGAATATTTCAAGACACTAGGCAACAACACAATTCTGCTTCTGCTGCGGCATGGTGAACGCTGGTGTCCAACTGGCGTCGACATCATACGCGCTGGTAGGTAAAAAACGAGGGACAAATTACGAATCGATCGATTTTAGGGGAAATCGGCAACTTGGTTGAGAAAACTAAGGTTTAAGTATACAATATTATACGGAGACGCAAGAGAAATGATAGAAATGCCTGAAGAAAATGAGGAACGTCCGTCTGGAAGATCGGGAGATGAAACGAGGAGAGTCTGGGTGTCTTTTAGAGGCGTTTTATTATTATTATTATTATTATTATTATTACTATTATTATTATTATTATTATTATTATTTAATTCGAAGGAGAGAAAGAAAATCACACACAGATGTCATACAATCAGATTATCTCGCAAAAAGTAAAGAAACAAAAGACAGGAAAAAATAATCACATTCTCACACGGACCTTTAAACGATCAACCAAGTAGCTCTTCTTCTATTCTCAAATATCTCGATTTTCTGGATTTTTGAACCCTTGAATATATAGCTTCTTTAGAATCATACGCGCTGCTATGTAAAGGGGATATTACAACGATCAACTTTGGTTGATGGAAATCGGCAACTTGGTTGAGGATACTAATCTCGAGGAAACTGATAAAATTGATCAAACTGAATTACACGTGGATCAAACTGAATCCTTACACACACACAAGCCTTTAAACGATCAACCAAGTAGGTTTTCTTCTATTCTTAAGCTCTCTTTTAGATGTTTTGAAATTCTTTTACGATCTCCACATATCCAAACTCCTCCTTAGACTTTTTTTTGGATAAAAGTAAGTTCTTTGGCTCCCTTAAGATTTGTCGATCTCGCACTCTATGCGATGGATCCACCGGCACTGATTGTCACGTCTTGCAGCACCGAACACTTTTAACCGTAACCCTCTCGTCATCCGTTTTTTTTAACGAGTCGATCGAATCTGACTGATCATTCGTTCTTTCTCTCTTTTTTTGTATTCCCAGCAATTTCGGCAATCCCGAAAATAGTGTGCGAGACGATCCACGCGCTGGAACTGCACGATGAGACGCCATCGTGGAAAATCATGGACAATAAAGGCCGAGTCACAGTGGTGCTGCACTGGGACCAGCGCTCGTCGTCGTCGTCTCAGGTGCAGCAGCAGCAATCGAAGGCGGGCCAGGATCCTCAAACCTCCAAGTATTCACCGACTAAAAAAGCCGACCTGAGCGGCGCTCAGCGACCCTCCCTCGTGATCCAAACCAGTCTGGACAAACTTGGCTACGACGGCAAGTCGGCGCACTTGCCCGGCGATATTGCTCCGACGCGGTATACCAGTCCGCGAATCACTGTGATAAATCATGACGATATGGTATTCCCAACTTATCGTCTTGTTACTCTATATAATGTATTTAATCGTCTCAATATACAGTCACGCGTTATTACACTACAAATTAATGTTTGTTCTGCCAGCAGCAGCCGCCGTCGCAGCCGCATATATCCGGTCGACTGGTAAAGCAGGGCACGAACTCGTTCGACAGCACAATTCACATCCACACGCCGCCGGAATGCTCCAATCACATCCACGAGCCGCTCGCGCGAAACGGCAGTCCAGTGAACGGCGCCGATGGCGGTCCATCCGGAGAATGTGACTTCCATTGCTGCGCTCTGCACGAGGAGGGTCGCAGAATCGCCGTGCACAAATCGGTGGCGACGTCGCCGATACAGGACGCGCAGCACGCCCAGTATCAGGCGCATCATGCGCTCCAGCAACAGCAGACGCAGACGCAAACGCCGTCGCCGCAGCCGCCATCCTCTCTGTCGGACGGCACCAAGCGACCCGGCCCCGGCAAGGGTCACGTGCGCTTTCGCGACACCGCCGACGAGGAATCGAGCTCCCGTATGGCGGGTCCCTCCGGTTTGCACCTGCGTCAGAATCACGTCAACCAATATCATCAGGAGCACGACAGCTCCGAATCCGAGACGGAGAACACGATAATGGAGGACGAGATCATTACGTCGGAGAAGTTTCTGCTGCTGATCGATCAGCTCACGGTCGATCAAAAACATCACCTTAGCATCAAGGACATCGGCATCATATTGGAGCGACTCAGCTCAAAAATTCTCGACGTCGAGCGGCTGGATCGCGACAGCGAAAGCAAGGAGTGTTACAACTGGACGATCAAGGCGGTCATCAGGGGCGATGTTCTGCGGGAACTCGGGGTGATTTACAACGGGAACTACTACACGATCTCGGAGCATCCGGGCTACAGGGAGGAGTCCGAGGACGATAATGAGGATAACGAGAGGGAAGAGGAGGATAGACTTTAATATGATGGTGTTTTACTAGATAGATAAATAGATAGATATACATCTATTCCTAGTTATTACTAACTTAGGACACATGTTGGAAACAAGAACGGGAAATATCACGTGGCCTCTATTAGATCCGAGGAGTTTTCGGCTATCGAATCTTCCGCTTTTATTTTGGAGAAGTCTAGCGCTTCCTACGATCTTCCCAGGATCTTCCCTCGCGTGATTCCCCGCAAAAAAAAAAAAAAACAGTTTGAGTTTTCCTCCCGAGAATTCCTTCGAGAGAAGAGATTCTCCGAGAAGATTTCAGGATCTTCTGGAATTCTTTTAAATATATTAGACACACTCTGTGTTAAAGCGTCTAAGAAAAAAAACAGAGACGCCAAAACTCGTGCCAAATTATCATTTAGAACTTCAGATATTAATCTTACAGTTATCTTAAGAGTTTCCGCTTCAGGTCCGTCTGCATATTTTTTGATTGTAGGAAGTTTTAGATATCGAGAACTCTCTCATAAAAAAGATTATACTTGTATTAAAGTCCTCATGTTTTATCGCGCGTGACAACTTTGCGTGTGAATTTGCGGAGGAAAATCCGAAAATCCTTAGCTTCTCCGAAATTCGTGCTATATATCCTCGGATCAGGAATGAGATCAACGGAGAAGCGAGAACCGCGATCGACGCGAGCGAAATTATATATTTGCGTCACGGAGAGAAATTCAAATTTGTAAAATCGAAACAGCGACGGAAGGTAGATCGCGAAGCGAAAGCATTACCTACTTCTTCTGAATGTGTTTTGTAATAACGAAAACTGATTGACAAAACAAATCAGGGGGGAGGGGGCAGAAGAAGCGTATCATGAATCATGTAATATGATACATCTTCATTAAAAAAAAAAAAAACTTAGTTCTAAAGACGGTTGTTGAAATATGTATTTATTAAACAAATTAGTACATATACGTGGTAGGAAAACATTTTTGGGATTACGGACGTCGGTTCCGTAACCGTCCACAACACTGCCCTTACAAAAAAAAAAAAATTAAAAAAAGGATAAAATAGCGCAAAAGAGTGAAATAAGTGACGAACGATGACGAAGAAGAAGAGACTGAACACAAAAAGATGTGAATATATAATACATGTGTAAAACGATTCGACTCGGCTTAACTCGACTCATTTAAGCTCGATATGGTTTTACTTTTGCTTTTTTTTTTTCATCCACGACACTTCAATTAACTACGTGGGAATCTTTATTGCAAATATAAATTATATCTTGTTAATTTTATAAATTACATGTTTTTTTATCCGCGATATTTGGAAATTTGAAAGAAACAAATTTTTATAATTCATAAATAATTTTGAGATAATTAATAAAAACTACCGAGGAGCCGTTTTTTGTAATAAAGGAGTGATTATGTTTTTCATAGATTTGTGTGATCGAGAGATAGAAAATCTCGCGAAAAAAAATTTTGATAGTCGACGTCGGGGAACAATCGATGATCTCGAATGGCGAACGGATAACATGTGGTGAGTACATGTAAAGATCCTTAGATCGCCATAGTATGCTCAGATAAATACGGATATAAATGTAATCGCGTGGCTGCCTTCAATTCATCGAACATCGCAGATGATTTACGACGCATAAATCGCACAAAAAAAACTTTTCACAAAAACACCTTGTCATGAACTTGTTCAAAGTTCATGGGAAAGAAAAAATATATAGAAGAGAAGAATAAAACAATGAAATTGTTTGTTTCTCGCCGACGTTAATTCTTTGTAGACTCGTAAAAACGCTCTCGTAGCCTAAGCAATTCTTGAATTCTCGGATTCTCTGATGTTTAATCATTTAATGCTGCTGGGTTCCTTTGATAACATCTTTATTCTTTATTTGTATCTCTTATAAGAGAGAAAAAGTAACTGATTTCTTTTTATTCCACATATTTTTCAATCTCTCTATTTTTCTCTCTTTTTGAATTTTGTTTAAATTCTTGAATAAATTTATACCATTTTTTATGTACATATATTTATGTAAAAATTACTAAATAATTTATTTTTAATGCTGAGGATTTTTTAAGTTTGTTTTTAACTTTTACGGAATCTGGTGGCAACTTCCGTTTATTTCGGCACACGATCGCATGACTTGCGATATTTCGAATTAGGTCAGTGAACAAAAAGATTTGTGATTTTCTTCAGCGTGTATACACAAATAGCATCGTTCAAAACTATCAACTACTACTCATTTAACGTATAAAAGCTATACATACGTAATTGTTTTTTTCTATTTAAAAAAAAAAAAGACACCTTGAAGTTATTAGATTTAAAAGAAGTGGGTGACATCGTCTCTGATTTTAGTATAAGTTTATAGTAAATTTATATAGTATACATATGTTTTTATTATATAGTATATAGAGAGAACACGAGAGAATGAAGTGAGAGAGTGAGAGATTATATAAACAAAAATGTAAGAAAGAAATTTTGTATGTTATTATCGTAGTTGTTTTGCGACGAGAATGAAAGAGTTGAAAGTTTCGAGCGGCGCTCACAAATCACCGTATATGCATGAACACATATGCATATATATATATATATATATATATACATATATATGTATATACATATAACATACATATATACATATATATATGTATACATATATTAAACTGCGTGTGTAACATAATATAAATATATGGTTGAAACAATTCGAAATTCACGTTAGCGGATGTATTACATGATTATATATAAATGATATATCGATACGTGGCGGGGAAATGCCAACTATGTGAAACTTTACAATTTTAATATATTTCTATTGTAAGTATACTCGCGCGTGTGCGCCCACGAAAAAAGAAAAAACAATTGTGAAAGAGAAAACTAAACATTCACATATAAATGCTATAATATTCGATAGCATATATATAAATATATACATATATAAATATATAAATATATACATATATTATATGATAATTCAGTGAACAGGCGTCACACTGACGTGGGAGAAAAAAAATTCACTTTATACATATTAATAAAACAGGTTGTCTTGTTTTGGGACTCGGAGGAAATGCGTTGTTGTTCGAAGCCGAATAAGAAACGAAGGCACGAAAATCCGCGAAATTCGTCATTCTGTTGGCGTTAAAATTTCCATGTGTCTTATCTCATCTTTCACACACACATGCGCACACAAACACACACACACACACACACTCGCGCACGCACGCCACACACACACGCACACACACACACACACTAACACTTATTTCACGATCATCTTACCTTCAGAATGTGCTATATGTGCTCAGATCCTGAAATCGAGTCCTGCAGATTTCTCGGATCTTCCACGATCTCGGCGACGCACTCTCGGTTGGGTCCTCAAATCGTCGGAATTGAAAATTCCAAATTCCGCCGATTTCATATCCCAACGGATTCGAACTCTCGGATTCCGCGGAGAGAGAAAGAGAGAGAGAGAGAGAGAGAGAGAGAGAGAGAGAGAGAGAAAGAGAGAGAGAGAGAGAGAAAGTCTTTCTTTGAGGACAAACTCGTCTCTGATTTAAGGTTCCACTGGTCCTAGATTGCTGTAAGATTCTAGGTTCCTTGGATCTCGCATTCCTTGATATCTGGACAGTTTGAAGTTTAGATGCCTTGGGAAAACGTAAGGTATAGCTTCTCTGCGATCTAGGATCTTTAAAATTCGCGGTTTTGTTCTCTTGGAATAGATTCTAACTTTTCAAGTTTTGTGCGGGTTATATATTTTGGAGCAAATTCTTCTCGGAACTTTTTTTCTCGAATTTCAAGAATATCGTTTCTCTTTGGATCATTATGTCATTGCACTTTCAGATTTTTGGGTCATCAGAATCCCGATTATATGATTTTGAGTTACGCAAAAAAAGTGAAATTAGAATAATTTAAGAATAGGAAAAGAGAAACTAAAATAATTTGATTTATTGATTGCATAATGTTTTTCTTTGAGAAAAACGTTTTTTTTATCACAAGAATGCTTTTGCATTAGAAAATCTAGATTTTTGTTCCCGAGAATTATTCGATTTACACAATATTAAAAAAAAAACGATTAGAGATCCTGGACGTAGTGCCCTTTTAAATAATAATAAATAATATAATAATAAAACGATAATTAATGCTAATATTAATAATAACAATAAAATAATAATTATATAAAATAAAAAGATTGTTATATAAGTTGTAATTGTTGTTTCTGGTACATGCAGATACTATACATACGCACACATACACACATAGACACATATACATACCTTAAAAAACTAATGGCCTCTGCCATTTATTTATACGTAGTCTCCTCCTATGATCCTTTATTGCAAAAAGTAGTACAAAGTCCTGGAATTATACCCAAACAGAAATTCACTCGTACTTCATATTAATTTGTTGCAATTGTTTTATGCAATATATTCTCAAATTATCCGACAAAGATGTTTACTCTGTATTTTACAATCATACAATAATTATTCGCTGTGTAATCGGGTTTTGTAAATAATTCATTTATATAAATTTTTCTCATATCTTTTTCATATTTTTGTCTTGTATCTCAGATTTCTTTAGATCTTTTGAAATATTACGCAACTCCACTTCTCGCGATAACATATTGTTTATAATTTAAATTCTGTTACAAGCAAATAATATAATACATAGTTGTGCTTTTTTATAAAAACAGTGCAACTTTTTCACGACCTATAGATCGATTAATCTGCAGCGAGCAACTGACGATTGACATGAGAGAAAGAGAGAAAGAGAGAAAGAGAGAGAGAGAGAAAAAGAGAGAGAGAGAGAGAGAGAGAGAGAGAGAGAGATCTAGCATAAGCAACCTCGCATTAATGATTACCTCTGTGTATCTGCATGGCCGTACATATTACAATAACTTTTAACTACTTTTAAACGAAAGAAAGAAAAAACGTAGTCGTTATAATCGATGTAGGAGAAATGAAATTCTTCACAGAGCGCTCCGAAAGCATGTGTGCCAAACGTGTCTGTATCGAACATAATTCGATACTTTATCTTCGCGACTAGACAATCTTTGCCACATTTAAAAAATATTCTTACTAAGAATATTTACAGAAACTCTTTTAAAAAAACGTGTAATGTTTAGAATTTTCATAGTAGTTTTGTTGTTCTAAGACTTTAAATATATATCGATTGCTTCGATACAAATTTATTAATTGTTATATTTATGTTTATTATATTTAATGAAATGTGCATATTTTTACATATATATCATAAAATTGTAATCGTTAATTTCTTTTAAGATTCTATAAATGTGTATGCGACAATTTAAAAAAAAATAAGATTCCTCTTACTAATGTTTTTTTGAACACTCGTTAGAAAAAAAATTTATTAACGCCGTCGCGCGAAACTTTCGGAGCATTCTGTTAACGTAAATATATGCGTACCGAGATGGTGAAGTACGTTCAGCACCTCTTGCCGCGTAGCGATTAGCTCGCACTACTGAATGAATGACGTATCGTTTTCTGAATGAATGACGTATCGTTTTCTGAACGAATGACGGCACGAATCTATCTTGTGTGTTTGACAAAGGATTCGAAACGACGGAGCAGAGGAGTAAATCAAAAAAACGGGGATTTCTGCAAGATTTAATCTAGGACGAGGTACTTAGGAGGAGTCTTCCCTCGCGAGAGGTATATAAAACTTTACATGTAATACAAATGCGTCAAGAAAGCACTCGCATACACACATACATATATTATATCTGTCATCGCATCACGTTTAAAGAGTTGAAAATTCTTTTGTTACCGTAACGAGCGTGCATTTATTCGCACACTGCGAGAGTGTAAGAAAAGCACTACGAATTTTCGTCAGGATTTAAACACAAGATCATATTACTACTATAACTATAGAGATAACGACGAAGAATACCGTATAACTATAGAGAGATTTATACATCTATAAAATGTTTTTTTAACCAGTAAGTTTTTTTATTAAATCATAAAATCAACAACACACAGACTCTTGTGAATTTTACATAATTGTTTCCTTAAATTTCCTTTTTTTTTTTGCAATTCCAACTGTTTTAATCCCGTGAATTACAGTTAGAGAGTTTCACGACGCTCGAATGTGTGAATCCACGTTTTTGTGCTTTAAGGTTGAATTAAATCGTGTCTTAAAAACTAATTATACAAGTTTTAATGGTGTCATTTAAATGTTTTTAAGTGAGTTTCTGAAAATATCTTAGAAAATTGAAGTGAACCAAAACAAAAAAAAAAGAGTTCTTCTTTACTTCTATGTAAATATGAAAATATACGAAGATGATTACGAAATGAATACACTGAGCTTAATTAGAACTACTTTTGTATCGTGAGATATGACGCGAGCGCTTTCTTCGCGAACCTACACTCTCCAAAAATCGCATATTTAATTAACGTAACATAAATTATATAACATAAACTAAAATCATGATAACTTGCAATTCTACAGTAAAATATGTCGAAAACGCTACGTAAGCCAAGAGTAGAGTGAATTAAGATTTTTTAAGCATTAAAACGAAAAATTTTAAAAATAAAAAAAAAAACGAGAGATTGTACTGATGACGGTGACTTTTTTAAAATGGCGTTTTATCGCGTTACGAGAGAATATAATATGTGTATATATAATGCATAACGTACATCCGCAGGAAAACCAATACACACACACATATACACACACACACACACACACGTAGATCCACACGCGTGTGGTCGCGTGCGGTCTCTATGTGTATATACATATATATACAATTTATAGATACGCGAGAGTGCGTGCGAATGTGCGTGTCTGATAAAAAAGAGTGCTGCAAGAATGTAAATAGTAAAAAAAAAAAAAAAATACCGTATTGTACCACGATTATCCACGAGGATCTGTAATTGCCAAGTGTAAAAGTTACATACAATACATACGTCATCTATAAATATAGATTACATAATAATAATAATAAGTAAGTTCGATGCACGATAGCGACAATCGCAGTATCCTGTGCGATTTTTCGGCGGGCAAATGTTTGCACCATGTTTGTTCGTGAATTTTCCGGTAAGAAGAGTGAGCAAAACTCGTTACTAAATTCCATATTTAGCTCGTTTTTCGTTGCTCCTTCCGGACCGATTGAATATTACCGATCGGATTGTTGCACGTCTGAATCTTCGATTGTAAATATGTTTTTTTTTCTCATACGAGATCCTCAAAAAGTTTTTTCCACGCGTTTTCCCATCCCTGTGATTGTATATATAATTTTCAAACACTTACGTTCAAACTGCACAAAATTCACCAGCAAAAAACAAACGGTGCAAAATTATTTCCGAAATGGATGTCACTCACAGCAAGACACACATTTCTCGTTAACCCTTTTCGCGCACATGTATCACGTGGCGTTTTTGTACGTGTACACGGAACACATTCCCTAGATAGAATTTCACACACATACACACACACACTCTCCTACTTGTAGCCTAAGATACAATACGATCTTGTTCTTTTCGCTCAAACTTAGTAAAAAGAAAAATCTTAGTAAAAAAAAAAAAAACATCTACGGTATCAGACTATAAAAAAAAAAAAGATGAAAGTGAAATGTGTCTCAATCTGTGAGAACGTATTTATTGTAATGCAAATTTAGTGGGACCTAAGTAGGCTTCGTTGTGCGCGGAAAGGGTTGACCCATTTATCAGCATTTATTAAACGGATAAAAACACACTTGGGGAAGGAGAAGAAGGTGGCAGGATGATGCCCGGGAGAGGAGAGATTGCTCGATTGTTGAAGGAAAAAAAAATGTTCCGCGTTGACGTCGAGCTTATAAAGTTACTTAATGTTAAACTGATGTTTTTACACGACTGCCATACAATATATTATGTATTTACACGATGACGCGAAGTCACGCTAGTTCGTCTCGGTAGCAGGTGCATTGTCTGTCGCCGCCGCACAGTGTGATATCTTTTTACGTCCAATCGAACAGAACAGACATACTTTACTCGTCTGAACGTTCCGCGGCGTTTTCTCGCAATCAGGTAAACTATTTCTGTTCTTGAATTGGCCAAATTTTATACTGTGCGTATTATCGAGTACGTTTTTTCCACTATGGCGCGAAGAGAGTGGAAAAAGAAGGTTTATTCACGTTGGAAGTATTTTTCCTCACCGCAAAGAAGAGACGCGATGGCAAACTCTGCGCGCGGCGAATGAGTTCCACTGCGAACACGAGTCTGTTTCTCTCGATTACGGATTGATATACACGCCAAAATGTGTACCTACTATATATACGTAAATAAATAAATAAAAAAAAAAAAAAAAAAAAAAAAAACGAATGAACAAACAGATGTGTGTGTCGGAAAAAGATTGAGGAGAGGAAGAGATCAAGACGTTCAAACATTTTTCATTTTTGAATAGCAATTATTTTTTTACATAATTGACATGTTTATGTCAGTTGCAAAAAACATTTGCGTACACCAGTCAGTTTAATTTAACAATATTACAGAAACTCACGATGTTACAAGAAAATTGCGCGTCTATATATACAAACCAATATGAACAATTCTATAACATATATGTGTGTGTGTTCTTAATTTATTTTTATTTTTTATGTCACTTTATAGATGGATGTACGTAGACTTTTTGTGACTGATTGTATAAACACGTGCATGTCGCCCTTTTTAGAAATTTAATATTCATTTACGCACTTTTCTCTCCGTTGCACATAAATAATATTACTTTTTATTACAATGTTAACCTACTTTTTATTCGCGTTCTCAAAGAACACGTTTGCACAATCTCGAGAACGTTCTTCAAACACTGCGTTATTTCGCGTACGTTTGGCTCTGTCGTAAATAAATTTTCGTCCAAATTCTCTGCAGTATAAGCTACATACGCAATAAGAAACTTAAATTTAGACCGACACGTGAATGAGTCTTTCACGTGCCTAGACGTTCAGCTTCTCATATCTTATGTACGCGAAAATCGATTATTACTCGTGTTACGAAACAAATTTTGGCACGTGTCATCTCTGCGCTCTGCCGCCTTTGTATACAATGAAAAGAAATTATTTGCATTACGAATTGAGAGATGATCCCCCTATCTTACGATAAGGAATTTTTTTCTAAGAATAAATTTATCTTCTTTCAAAAGATAATTTGTGATATATCTTCAAATTAGAGATCTCGTAATTTCAAGTCACGAAAATTCGTTGAATAATAAAATATTTTTTTTATTTATTTCTTAAACCTCGTATTTCTCTCGAGCAAAATTGGTACTGTGAAGAAACAGTTGCTGCGCCGGCTAAAAATGACGTAAGATTGTTTCCGCTGTTGTGCAAGCTGTTGTGCATCGTTTAAATTTAGCGACAAAGTTCAAGACAGAGAGACAAACGCGATTGCTGTAAGACGCGACTAACAGGTAAGACAATACGCCGGCTAATGGATCTTACTGGGAATTCGCGCAGGCACGTAGTGATAATCAGATTGAAATTTGATGATAAGAACAAGTTGGTTCTTTTTGTGTACAATACGAATGACGGGAAAAGTAATAAATTGATTCTTCAATGCCGCAGTTCAGAGATCGGACCTCGAAATTTAAGTAAAAAAAAAAAAAAAAAAAAAAAAAAAAAAAAAAAAAAAAAACCCGGCTTGAAGATTGATTCTTAAATACGTTTCCTGAATATCTCAAGTTATATATCTCATGAATTTTTTCTTGTATCTCAGAGAATTGCGTTTTTTTTATATCCACGCGGACCCCGAGCAATCTACCTCATCAGCTGTGTATATCAATCTCAGAAAATTCGATTTTCGTAAATTTTAGATCAGAAGAGTGCTCTCACATCAATAATTTAATTGAGTATACTTCGAGCTTCCAGTGTGTTTTTAAAATCCCCTATCAAGATTCAGATACATATGTACACATATATGTATGTATACACTATTTTGCAGTTAAAGCGCACGTCCCGGAGCAATCTAAAACGCTCTTCGTTCCACGCTCTCCTCCCCGTTCCACTCTCTTCACTTTAATAATTTCTTTGCTCTTCTCGTTCCGCGATCTCCACCTGATCCAGCATCTCCGATATCTCGTGTGCTTCAGCACCAACTATCGTCACCTAATCTCTAACTTTCCTCTCGGTCATCCTCCCTTCCTCCCTCTCTCTCTCTCTCTCTCCCTATCTGTCTCTTTCTCCCTTTCCCTTCTCACTACTTCGTTTGATTGACGCTAATGATCGCACTATCAATTAGCGGTCTGAGTGTGCATTTTCTTTATCTCTGTCAAGTGAAACGACGAAACCGAAATTACTATCACGTAACCGATTGCTTCTCGATCGATCTTTTTTTTTTTTTTTATTTTTTATCCCAATGAGCTTGAGTGTATCTCTCTTGTGTTCTGTGATTCAATTTAAATTTATGTTAATGTGATTACAATTTTAGCGACATTCCCGGAAGAGATCTAATCCCCGATCTGTTTGCTCTAATTTTTCTAACACGAAGATCTGAGAAATCTAGACTTTATGCAAAACATAAAATCCTCAGAATCGAGATACGAAGTAAGCTCCTTAGTTCTCCGTCGTTTTCTCTCAGATTTTGGATTCCTACCACTTGATTGTGGATATTTCTTTCTCACTCTCGCTCTATTCGTCGCATCCTCCTCTTTCTCTTTCCCTTCATATTTGCCATTCATCCGAAACCTTCATCTCAACGATCCCTCCGGCACCTCGTCTCGCAGCATCTAGCCGGTAGGCAGAATCACCATCCTCGCAGGACCTTGATCGGTCGGTGCTCTGCGGCAGGTCCTGCCACCTAGTCCCTGTCGTTCACTCTCTCACTCTCTTTCTCTTTCTCTCTCTGTCTCTCCCTCGCCTTGTGCACCAACCAAACCCCAGCCAAAGGGGCTTTTCGCATCTCGATGCCGCTTCTGCCCTCGCGGCGGTAGCGAGAAAGCCACCAGCGCGCGTTATTGATTTGACAGGAATGACGGGAGGTGGAATGGCGCAGGAATCGATAAAAGGAGGTGGTGGTCCACGCTGCCGGTGGTACGCTGCGCGGTGGTGCGCGCGTGTGCACGCGACGAAGAGCGTCGATATTGCGAGGTGCAGAGCGAGCGAGCGAGTCGCGGAGGGCCACGGAGGGTTGGTAGCGAGCAGGTGGTGGGAGAGATGAAGAGGAGGACCGGAGGGAGCGGCAGCGCGAGGAGGAAGACCAGGAGAGGGAGCGGAGAATATTTTCATACTCCAGACTCCCGGCGTAGGTAGAAGATGGCAGCCGAGGCGTGATTCGGTCCGGGCAGTTCTTCGAGAGTAGTAGGACCGCAATCAGCTCCGGATTTCGAGAAGAAGAAGCCGCCGGGAATAAATAGTGTGCTATCCCTTCGTGCTCGGCCTTATTTTCATCGGTCGGTGCCCGTGGCCCGGAAATCCCATAGGAAGCCACCGGAAGATGATTTGAGGAAAAATAAAGAGAGCTAGGCGAGAAAGAGAAAGAGAGAAAGACAGAGACAGAGATAGGGAAGGAGAGTAAGAGAGAAAGAGAGAGAGAAAGATCCGGCACCTCGTCGCTCGGCTACGCTTCGCTCGCTCGCGCGCGACGTTTCTCTCCATCTCGCTATTTTTCTGTCGTTTTTTTTCGTCGCCGCGCAAAGAACCGCTCGCGTAAAAAAAACAGAAGCGCATTCTCCAAATCGCACACGGATCAGTTGTCGGTAGTTTAATACGATCGTCGGAAGGAACGACCTGTGATCCGCTCCGTTACGCTCCGATCCGCTTGGCTCCGCGTGCCGCGTCGTCTGATGAGCGAGGAGGTGGTAGATGTCGGTGATTATGCGCGTAGTAATGAGTAATTCTGTAAAGACCGTCGGGATCGCAGCAGCCGTCATCGTCGCAGTGTTTTACGAGCATCATGTAATATGGAATTAAACAATGTTGTTAAGACATAAACATGTTCTGGCTACACTGTGGACTCTTTGTTCTCGTGATTGCCGTATCTGGATTTATTAGCAGCTTAGCCGACACTACATCTAAACGAGGTAACGCCTGCCTGCCTTCACCCGCCTGCGATTTTGTATTTTTGCCTGTCTCCGTATTTTTCCGCTATAAAAAATTGATGGATATTGAGCTGTTCTGATGGATTGGTGGTAGTTGTCTCGATTTTGGTTTTAACGACTGAGAGAGAGAGAGAGAAAGAGAGAGAGAGAGAGAGAGAGAGAGAGAGAGAGAGAGAGAGAGAGAGAGAGAGATATTTAATCGGAGCTAAGTGCAATCAGTCCCGAGACAATATTACAGCCGAGCCGAGAGAAATCGTAATCCAAATGCGGATTTTAATCAGGTCCCGGGGTTTCTTTTGTAAAACGACCATGTTTGTCAGGAAGCTGACTGCACTTCTTTCGATCAATTTCGAGAAGGACAATGAACCAGGTCAAGTGTGATTTGACGTAAGAGAGATGAAATTATTTTTTGATGTAACCGGAAACCTATTTTTCTAGTTTTTTGATTTTTGCTTTCGACGAATCTACTTGCTTGAATGAATGAAACGCCGATCATTACGTTATACGTACTACCTTTATGCACCTCGCTTGGCAAGCGCTTATCCCCCACGTTAACGCATAGTTGTAAAAAGGTAAAATCCGAATCAACGAGACTGAAGACTCAAATGCGTCTCAAAGATAAGAGGAAGCTCTCGAGAAAGCTTCTTAACAAATACAATAATAGAAAGCCAATAAAAGCCCGACACACGACGGGATGTGCAAGATCCAAGTCGTTCGAGATTTCGTAATTGGCGCTTTACGCGAACAATTCCAATTATGATAATCTACTCTCTGATGGATAAATTTAACGCGAGATTTGCGTAACTTGCGAAGCAATATTTTGCTAAGAGAAAGATACCGCGTTTACATTTGGTAAAATGAAATAATTTTGTCGAAACAACTTTCAGGATAAAAAAAATAAATAAATAAATAAATAAAAATAGTAATCTAGTTCAAAGTTCGACGTAAACTTAAATCTTTTTTTTTCAAATTAACTATCCGGGATTAATAATGCTGATGCAATTTCTCTCAATGAGTTTGCATTTGAATTTGTGTCACAATTTTTATAGATTTTATTCTCGCGAGTACACACGGCATGTGATATCTGGTATCAGGTTTCTCTTACACACGATATTGGACATTGAACTAGCCGAGTTTGTGCCGGTTTTGATCCTTGATAATCGCCAGATATAGATACAAATGCGTTTTTCAGCTAAACAGCTTGTTTTATTTGAGATTTACTTTAGAATGTGCAAATTTTTCTATCTTGCAGTATATTTTCGCTTTCTTTTCGAATCTAAAAGATCTAAATTTTTCCAACGTCCTCTCTGCTCAATAACGTTTACATCGTTAAACGCGCATTCTCTCTCATCTTAGAAAATTTCTAAATCAGTCATCGAGAAGATATTTTTATCTTGATAGAAGAATCTTGCGAGGATCGGTGTCCTCTTCGCTGAGATAAGAGGATTCTCTTGATACCTGTTAGAACGGAAATTGTTAAGATCCGAATACACCGTGTTTACGACGTGTTTAAGATTTTTTTCCGAGTCCGTAGTTTTTTTTTTATTTTCAAGAGCTTCATTGAGTTACAGATTCCTCTAATCGTAGCTTCAATCCGTAGCGTCAAAGAACTTACGATGTCGGGTTAAGGAATTCCGGAATTCGAGGAATCCGAGCGATTCGGATAATCTAGAATTCAAATAACTTAATATTATCTAGAGAGATTAGGTGAAATCTAGTGAAGGAAATCTGGAGTCTGCGGACACAAGAATTTGAGGGGGTGAAATTTGATTTAAGATACTTTCGAATCTTCTTGAATCCTCGACAAAAAATCACGTTTTTTTTTTTTTGCATTATCGCAGCGTGTGTATTCTTTTATGCGCACACACTCGCCTATTACGACGGACTTTCTCTTTTTTTTTTTTTTTTTGTCGTTGACGGCATACCCGTTCTCTTTCTCGTTACAGCACATTAATTAACTTCACAACGCCAACATGAAAAATAGAATTCTCGAATAGCACAGAAATAAACGAAACATATGCTGATACAAACTGCGAACACAATAAATAATGATTAACGTTCATCTAAATAAAAAAAAAAAAAAAAAAAAAAAAAAAAACAAAAACACTCAATTTGTCGTATTTATTGACAATTTGTAGCTATAAATGTTGAAGAACAATGTCCAATTTGTACAATCCTATCAATTAGTCGTTGTTAGCTTGCTGAAATCTGATACGTGCAATGCCTGCTGCGCTTAGTTTTCATTAAATACATAGCATTTTTTATTAATTTTGCCGTATAATCCCCAACTAATTCGCGACAATAAAACTGCTGATTATACGCGCGCACGGCGCACTCTCAGATTCCTTCTCTCATCGTATTCGCGCAATTTGGTATTTGCTGACGTCGGAGAATGCGAATATATAGATCAGCGGAACGACGCGGCGCTTTGGTTACGACCGGCGTATATATACGTACGGCGTACGTACATACGTTACGTCCGCGGATTTTCCGTGGAAAACGGCCGCGGTGGAAAACGCGACGTCGGGCGTTGGAATGCGCGTAATCGTTACGTACATTTCCGTCGAGCTTCAAATCCCGCAGTTGCATTATTCATAATGTTATCGCGCGGAATTACTCCGCACCCGCTTGCTCACTTTGCATGTCCTCCGTTGCCCATCCGCTCCGACGTAAAACCGCGAGCACGCGAATGTGCGCTTTGCACATGCATCATCGCATGAAGCAGCTTATCGCGCCGTCGATGTTCCCAACGACGACGACGACGACGACGACGACGACGATGACGACAACGACGCGCGCCACGACAATGATGTACGTGCGTGCACCACATTTCTTATAATGCGCAGATATCTCGCTCGGCGGAACGTGATTTTGTTTTTATAAACGTTTCTATAACTCGAAGCATTATTCAGAAACAGATAAGTATTTTATGGAAAGACAGAAAAAGAGAGAGAGAGAGAGAGAGAAACAGAAAGAGATTATGTTATTTTTAACACCATTCTTGTTTGTCAAATGTTTTTATCTTTATTACATCGAAAACAATACACACTTATTATAAAAATTTCACCAGAAGGACTTTTTCTACTCCCGGGAGGAAAATCCTCTCGAGAGTAGAAAAGTACGATTAGTATCTCTTGGATACCAATGATAAAAATACAAATTTTTTTTCTTTTTTTCATCGTAGTAGCGTCTCTTTAACATTATACTACAAAATAATGAAGGATCAAGCTTTTTACAGAAAGCGGAACGGTCATAAAATAAGCTTCTTAGAGAGAGAGACTATTTTTTGAAAATTTTACTATCGTGTTTTTATAGTCCCCTCTGAGGATCAGCATCTCTCGAATATTAATGACGAAAATATTATTCTTTTTCTCTTTCTACGGTGTCATGATTGTCATGCTACATTCCCGCGCGAGATAATGTTGAAGGATCGAGTTGTCTACAGAGAGCGTATATAAAAGCGGACATAAAATATTTATAAGCTTCTTAGAGACTTCAAAATTTTATAGCCCATCATAAAGCGCTAATACATATTTTAATGACGACTTTAACGCTTCCCCGCGCGAAAACGGCTAAAGAATGAGGCGAAACCTGAGAGAGAAATATATATTTGAGACGGTACATGTTCGAGGTGTCGAAAATTAAAGGAAAAGACAACGCGTTTTGAATTTTCTTCGAGAGAGAACGGGGTTGATTTTGACGAAAATTCTTGTTTTGTTTAGCTTATTTAAAGTTACTTAAAGCTACTTGAGGCGAGAGTACACAAATTGCGTAGTCAAGATAGCGCCTAATCAAATTTTCGTTCGACGGAAAGATCGATAACAAGCTGTTTCCGAAAGCCATAAAGGTGACACGCTTTCGGGGCTATACAATGTGTTTACAATGGATTTCCATAATCGTAAAATAACATGCTTGAGCTCTAGCTTTGTATCTATATAAAAAAAAAAAAAAAAAATTCACAAGTTGTACAGCTGCGTGTTACACGATATCTATTTGCGACCGTAAAAAAAACAAAATGTCGTTTGTAAGCGATATCGTCCCTTATAAAAGTCCTCACTAACATTTCGTGTATGTAGTAACGCTGCATTATTCATGAGAATACAATTTATATGGAAGTAATGTACACAAAGTTATCCCTTGAATACAGAAAACGACACACTCGGCCCGAAGGAGTTATAGCCGGTGGAATATATTTTGTTTACTCGTGTGTGCGCGAAATCGATCAACTTGTATCCTGCAATTAATCAAGAACGTGGGACGGAAAGACGACTCGTCGGCGAGTTTCCTCGAGCAAGACCCCACGAGAGATTGAAATGGCAACGTGCCAGTTTTAACTTATTGGCTTTTAATACGTGAACCTCACGGCCGATTTTGCAGCTCGACAAAATATAGGACGGGGAGGATAAGGTCTCGAAAATCGCTAGGCGAGGTAATGCGCGCGAGGATTCGCAATGCGAGATTCGTCGTCGATCGATCGAACGAGAGCATGCAGAGAAGGAAAAAAGTCTCGAAGAATGAGAAATTTGTTTTCGGTTGCGCGCGCGCGCGCACTTACCGAGATTATTTTTCGAAAATTTGATTTTTTTAAATTTAGTTTTAGATTTTTAGATTTTTAATATTGATAAGCGCTGGAAGAGAACTATAAAAGACAAACTAACACGGTAGATGATGTACGAGCTGAGAACATAGCCTCTGGACGAGTGGTTAAGTACTCATTCATCAGAGCGTACACACATCTACATACTTCGCTCGTTTAACCTCTCACCCGGTGTGCGTACACTCACTATACCATCATTTCCGATTTCCGCTCACCCACGCCTTCCTGCGCAGATTTATGAGACGGAAAAAGAGGGAATTATTAAGTTTTCATCCGCGAGATTTTAATCAAGCAGAAAACGATTGCTGTTTTGGTTTTTAAACTAAGCATTTGTAAAAAAAAAAATAAAAAAAAAAAATTGTACAATTTTTGTTTTCAAATCAAA